TGTTCTTGGCTACTGCTTATGACAAAGCATCCGAAGTTTGGACCAAATGCTCGCCAAACCCATTGGTTAGTGATCTCTTTGAATTGAATTTGGTTGCACTTCATCTACCTTGAGGCTTTATGTTTCTGCAGCTGGATGCCTGTACCTCATGAAGCTTTGGATGGGGGCTTAATTAAAACACCTAGGGGCCAATCTGTGGACTGGTGATTTATCGTAATGGTTGCTTTCCTGCTTGGTGTGTGAGGGATGGGATGTGTAGATTATTTGTAATTAGATGGTTGTTCAAAGACTATAAATGCCCACTTAATGCTGAACCATGTTAGATTCTTTTTATTTCTTCCTTGATCATAAGAATCATTTAAGAATGAAAGTTTATCTGCATGTATAATGATATATTCATGTATGTTCCCTCCACCCCAATCTTTTTTTATCTGGTGCCCTTCTTTGACAGATTGTGTCTCGACAATTCAGTTCATAGAAATAATCTATCTTGTAGGACCACTAGTTTGTAAAAGTTGAAATGAATGAGTCTGTATGACATTGTATTGAGCAATTTTCGAAGACACGCACCTTTACTTGGAATAATTTGTGCTGGCACTTTTGCAACCCTTTGCACCCATATGTTGATAAGTACTAGTAGTAGAGCTTTTTATTTCTTACAACTGATGCATTTTGGCAATGCAAAAGGAGCTTAAAAGGTTGGTGGCCTATGCTTGAAGTAGTGCAAACCTGTTGACAAAACTCATTGCAAAATCAGACTGATTCCCATGGATGGGAGGTGCATTATACACACTTGTCGACTTTTAATATTGCACTCCTGTTTTTCTCCTTTAACATGATTGTTAACCTATACTTATATTGGCCAATTTTTGGCTTGCAGAGTCTTTTCTGAACTCTTCTAAGCCTCTATGATGCTGTTATCCTTCTCCATGGAGACAGATTACCTTACCCCAAACGTCTTCTCTTCACATCTGAACTGGACCCAGGTATATTCTTGGGAAGGCAAAAGTTTGCACGACTATCATATTCTTTTTTTTTTTTTAGGTATCAAAATTATTGTGGAATTATTAGTAATGTAATAATGATTTGCTCAAGGAGACACGGCACTCATGGCAATGCTAGCAATGTTTTCCACCCTTTCCTATTGCCTGCTGATATGAAGGGCCGCTTAGAGCAACTTAAAACCAAACTAATGGTAAAACTTTTATCCACTAAGGTGCTTTGTCGGGCATGTAGAGGCAAGTATTTAGGAAAAAACTTTGATATTGATCATAGCAGCATTCTTCTTTTGTGCTTACATATTCTTTACATCTGTAGAAAGAGTTCTCCTACAGATTGAAGTTGTGGTATGATTCTTTCGCGGGTGATGCTATCGGTCTACATGGGAACAATCAAAGGTATGATTGACTATGCATTAAATTTCTGGTGATGGTAGTTCCTGATGTACAACAGTGTACAAATCATACTGAATTCTGATCTATACTTTCACATTTCAAAGAAACGAGAAAGAGAGGAAGAAGAATTAGAGGGAAAATATCGAGTCGGTTTGTTGAGAAATGGAGGAGAACTGGGGGAAGGATTTTTGAGAGATGTTTATTTGCTCAAGGCTCCCAGGCTTTCAAAAAAAGGGAAAATGGTTTAGAGAACCCCCAGACTTACAGCAGAAATAGCAGGCGCGAGCGCGAGCAAGGAAACTCATATTTTACTGGATCTTGAATCTTCAACTTTGCAGCAAAGGTAGTGGCTAAAAAAAAAAAAAACTTTGAAGCAAAGGACACCTTCCTCCAGAGCTGTACCCCTGTGCCTGCCAACAGATACAGCAAAATCCTAGCAGGGTGCTGAGGTTGGATATGGACTACGAACCCTTTCAATGCTGTTGGTTTTACTGTTCTATGTAGGCAAAAAACTACAAGAAATTTTACTTTTTAACCTTTTAAAATTATGTTGGTCAGATATAAGTTCAGTACACAGAGTAAATAGGTATATTTTAGGGGAGAAAATGGAGTGAAGATTTGCTTAAAGAATATGCAAATTGATTATTCCCATGACCTGTTGATTTATTTGTGTAGGAGTCGATTTTAAGAAATGAGTCTCCAATTTAAATTTTAGTTGTTATTCAAATGAATAAATATATATATATGTTAATTTTTTAAATTTTTTTAAAAATTAAAAAAATTTCACTTATAATGTATTAAATAATTTCTTAAAACAAGGAACGAAGTAAAAAATGCTGAGTATGGGATGTAACGCTAACTAGCGCATGTATTATTATTAATTATTATTATTATTATTAAGCAGTGAAATTATTATTTGATAAAATGCATGTGAATATTTGTTTATTTTCTCATTTTTTAATAACAATTATTAGTAATATTAATAAACATAAATCGTTAATTATGAAAAAGAATTTATAAAAAAAATTAGGAAAAAGTTGGCAAAGAAATGATATCTCAATATTTCTTTTTCCAGCAAAACGGCATTGTTTAAAGTGAAAGCAAAGCAACAGTCTACTTTCGCACCAAAAAGCTCGAAATCAAAATTTCCCGATCTGCTGATGAATCAAGAGTTTTTTCTTTCTTAGCTTCTTTCGAGCTTTGCTGTGACTTGTGAGTAGAAGAAATGGGGCTTCTTAGTATCATTCGAAAAATCAAGAGAAAAGAGAAAGAAATGCGAATCCTTATGGTGTAAGTCTCTTTCTCCCTCTCTCTTTTTTTTTTTTTTTCTTGCTCATTCGAAAATTTGTATTCGTAATTCTATCAACTTGTCAGTGCAGTGGGCTTGATAATTCAGGGAAGACCACCATTGTTTTGAAGATTAATGGAGAGGACACAAGCGTCATTAGTCCCACTCTTGGCTTCAACATCAAAGCATCACCTACCAAAAGTAAAATTTTCCTTTTTCACAATATTTAATCATTAACTAGCTAAGCTCACCAAGTATTTGAAAATACTGTCCGGGTTGTTTTTCTTTCTAGTTTTCATTTTTATTAGAATAATGAATGTTGAATTAGATTTGATTTTGGCAGATATACTCTGAATATATGGGATGTAGGTGGTCAAAGAACTATAAGATCATATTGGAGGAACTATTTTGAGCAAACTGATGGTCTGGTGTGGGTTGTTGATAGCTCAGATCTTAGAAGATTAAATGATTGCAAAATGGAACTTGATAATCTTCTAAAGGAAGAGGTATGGTGTTTTGTTTGATTTGTTTTCCCCATTAATCAACTCCTTTGAATTGTCTTATAGAAATTCTCTTTTAACAACAAAAACTGGGATTCAGAATAGTACACATTTCAGTGAAGGTATCTATCTTGCTATAGCAGTTTGAGGTTGTTGCAATGAATATTTATCAGAAACTGAAACACTGCAAGCTATTGCCTGGCAAAGCTTTCTGGGGTTTGTGGCTGAGGATTTCTTTGTGGACTATTTTCTTAGGAGTTAATGTGTTTTTCCGTGTGTTGCAGAGGTAATCAGGAGCATCCTTGTTGATACTAGCTAACAAACAGGACATTAAAGGTGCTCTTACACCAGCTGAAATCGCCAAAGTAAGGCTACCAACTCCTAATTGCTTTATTAATTTGTTATTTTTGAATTTTGGTGTTTGTTAGATTGCAAAAACTGAGAATGCTACGTTTAGTTCTTTCTTTGTCAAAGGCCGAAAGTGGTTTTGCAATTTTTTTGTGCTTGGATGTGGCACCTGCTTTTCCCAAAGTTTTTATATGTATGCCATGTCTAGACACTAAGCTTTGTATTATAAGCTTTCTTTTATGGCTTCCATTTCACATATTTTGAACCATTAAGCCTTTACGTAAATGCTGATTTATTTTAGGCATGTGAATGTTGTTAAAAGTTGTCTACTTTTTACTGTTTTTTTCTTGATCTTGGACATAAAAATGTGCAGCTGCTGAACCTGGAAGCCATGGATAAAACAAGGCATTGGAAAATTGTAGGCTGTAGTGCATACTCGGGTGAAGGGCTTCTTGAGGGATTTGATTGGTTGGTTCAAGATGTTGCCTCCCGGATCTACATGCTTGATTAGCCTGAATCTGATTGATGTAAAAATGCTATGATGCTTCATTTTGGCAGGAGAAATTTGTGGCCGAAGGATTTCAAAACCCAAGTACCCTTCTTAGGTGACCTTTTAAGCACAAATATAAAATTTATCAATTTTTAAGATTTGAAATACATGCTTGCACTTTGTATTTAACAAATCCATCCAATCTGAGTGCTACTCTTTGTTTTGATCTCTCCGCTAATGCATTATGAAAAACTTTTCTTTTTGTCTCCCTTTTCACGATATTTTTATGTGATGGAGTCGAGGAACAAAAGTACAAGAAAAGGAAAAAGAAGTAAGCTCCTGGAAAGTAAGCGGCAAGCTGGAAGCAGGTTTCTCTACAAACCGAGATTGTTTCCTACACCAGACCAAACGAAATCGACTAACAGAAAGGATGTAAGAGAGAGTTATAGAGAGGAAAGACAAGTAGCAATTGTAGTTGTAGGCATCATAGCGAGCAAAGAGCTGATAGAGAAGTACGGCAACTGCTTTCTGAGATGCCCGAGTCTGTTATCAGATCCTCTTTTCCTGTTTCAGACTGACTCGTATTCGAGGCTACAGCCATTCAAGCCTCGCATGTTAGGTGTCTGAAGAGGACCATTCAGTTTAAGGTTTTCTTAACCGCTGCCCTGCTATTTATTCAATTCTTATGGGCTAAAAGAATTGTCTTAAGGCACTTGGTTGTAGGCTTTAGCCCAATGTTTTATTTTTATTTCATATCACATATATCTCCTTTCTACTTTAATATTAACAGGATAAAAATACTACTTAAATGCAATCTTTAATGATTTTTGTATTTGTGTCTCTGTGTTTCATTTTATTTTGTGTTAAGCACAAAAAATATCAACTCACACATGAAACACTTTTTTTTTTTTTTTCAAATTTATATATGATTTTTTTATAAGATTTTAAGCTGTGTTCCTTTTGTTAGAAGATACATTGCATTAGTCATGCATGAGGCCTCATGCCATAATATTGATATAAATAGGCATCAAATTTTAGAAACATGGTGACCTTTGGTCGGCTTAAACATATTGGATTTCATTTCCACAAAAAGAGTTTTACATTTCCTTTCAGTTTTTTTTTTCCTCCCTGTATTAATGTATGTTAACAAACAATAGTTAACAAAATGTATAATCTAGAAAGAGGTAAAAAATAAAGCAAAATTATTGCACCATCTGCCTAAGGAAAAAGAAAAACTCCATTAGAAAGGGCCTAGCTACATGCAGACTATTTTGATGGAGATTCAAGCCCCCGATTTGCACATGGCTTGAAAATTTCACTTGTTCACGATATATATCCTTGGTTCACAATCTGAACGCCAGGTGTTAAACCTTCTTTAAGTAGAGCTTCCTGTATAAGTTTTTCAGTGAGAGATTTTGATAGTCCCATCACAGTATCAGCTGCACCTATCTGCCAAACACCCAACATATGCTATGTCATAGGAATTTTTCAAAGGCAAGTGCCAAATACCATATCATCTTGACCAGGTACCCTAGGATCACTTACAGCTCCTTGATGGAGCAGAACGGACCCCCCCAACAATGTTGAGGTTGATCCTAACATCCAATAAAACTACAAAATCAAAATCTGGAGATACAGGTGCACCAGATTGTTGAAAATGAAGGTTAGGACCAGATAATTTGGGGGCCTTAAAGTTAGTCAGCCATGTCTACGGTGTTCATTACGTGAAGTAGGGGAAAAAGGAAAAAAAAAACATGTTGAATGATAGTGGGAGACAGCAACAAGAGAAACAAGCTCACCACAGAATCAACAAATGGCAACGTTAGAGGATGTTCCAGCATTAGACCTCCAGCAACCTTGAATGGGATTCCTTCATCAATCTGAGCACGGCTCGCCATCAAGAAAGACTTGAATCAGGTGGAAAAAAAATAGCTCAAGAAAAGAAAATCAAGCGATTACATGTGTATATAAATTTTACCAGGTTATCCATCACTTCATCTGGTATGTCGTGGAAGTAAACCTGTAGCACAATAACTAATCTTATTCTCGTGGGACAGAGTAGCAATTGACTTAAGAAAGGTAGCACGGATCCAGTTTCAATTACAAAATGCTTCGATTGACAAGAGTTTATTCAGAAAAGAAAATTAAAAATAAAGGAAAAGAGTAAAGATTAAAATGCAATTCATCACTGCTCTTCACCAAAAGCAGAAGCTAAATATATTTGGAATTGAGTAGTACCTCTGCACTTTCCCATCCACCTTTGCTTGCTCCGGTTCTAAAGTTAGTCACAAGAACAGATCCTACCACTGCTGCATGGCCCCCAGAATATCCTGCAACCATAGATTACCTTTAAATCCAGCTAATTCTTGTAGTTGCAAGACATCAGATTGAAGCATATTAAACAAACCTTTGATGAATTCTCGTGCTTCTTTCTTGCTGCATGGTTTTTCTCTGATCATCCCTTTATAGACCACCACCTACATATACAGGTAAGAAATAACCTTACATAATTTCCAAGGACAACAAATAAAAAGACCAGCAAATGGTGATACTATTCTTATGCTTACTAGTGATATGTTTTATAGAAGGCAGGCCAAAATAATTATGGTAACCAACAGAAGTTCTGATAGACGTGATATATGCCAACTTAGCACCAGTTAAAGATATGAGGAAACAAAAAATCTATGAAATAAACAATGTTCAGACATTTTCCTAGCTAACTATGTTGTCTACCAGGAGTCAGAAACTAACATGTGATACACTCCTAGATAATACATGAGAAGAAAAGTTGATGTCATGGTGAAAACTATCATAATAATTACATCTACCAATCTTTAGCATTACTCCCTCTGCCACCAATCAAAAGATTGTTGAAGGAGGACTATATGTTTGGATTAAGTAAATCTCTAGTGAGACTCAGATATGCAGGCTACTTGGGTAGCATTATTGGAAGCTAAGACAGGAACATGTTCTCTTCTAGTAGAACCACGCCACCTCCAATAAGCATCTTAGCTGATGTGGGATAATGTGAAAAATCTATCAGGCTTATAACATAAATTCAAATAGCTAGATAAGTGGATAGGAATCAAAAGATCCAGTTGTCATTAGCTTGTAATGAGAGAGATCCAAAATTAGGAATCAGCCATTATTGCGCTGCTATCCTATCTAGGAGTAGGACAACAAGATACGTGATGAAATTGCATTACCAGCACACCAATCAGATTTAAGGCGCTTAATTATAAAACTGGTGTTAGTTATTGTCTAATACTAAGAGCATGCACAATAATTAAACTCTTTTATTTTCACGGCTGACATATGAATGCTTTTTAGTCAATGATTCTTCGTGTGCTTGTTAGCTAAATCATAAGAAAAAAACCTTTAAATATAGAATGACAACATGTTAAAGAATACCGTATCTGCAGTAATTAACAATGTTGTGTGAGCGTCTTTCTCTAGCATACCAGTGTTCTGAAGCCTTGACATGATGGCATTTGCCTAGGAAAAAGAAATTAAGGTAAGAGTAATAATAAAACTGTAATAACTTGTAAAGCCGTCAAAAGGACAAAAACTGCGGAATGGAATGAAGAAATTCCTTGTCTACTCATCTAAACTATTGATTTAGGTTCTATTCCATGAAGTCGATTCACAAATAGAAAATGAAAGAGTAAAGCAAGAGCAACAGTGCACTTTGTGAGATAACTGAGAGTTATAATAGCTACAACAAAGCAAAAGAAGTCATACCTTTGCCTCAGCAAGAGCTGTTACCAATTCTTCTGGCTTTTCTTTTCTAATGCTTTTCTCATCTATATCTGCAGTCTAAATCACATATGCAGTTAAATTTCTTCCTACTTTACTAAATGAGAAAAAGAAAACCCCTCAATAGAATTCTTCACCAGAGAAAATCCAAATACTTTTCCAGCCCAAAAGTTCAAAAAAAAAAAAAAGTTCATGCTTAAAACCCTGATTTTAGTAACAAAGTTAAGGGTGACTTGTTCAAGCCAATGAGAAAAATACATAATTCTTCAATTCAGAAAAAAACCCAAATTGTTTTTTAAACCCAACTTTTGTCCTTTAGTTGGAACCAGGGGTGACTTGGTTAGGTATGCCAATTCTTTTTTGGGTCTTTTTTCCCTTTTAAGAACCCTTTGAAAATGATATATATAAGTAGCTTAACAACATACCATGATTGTGAACTCATAACCCATTTCAGCTAGAATTCGTTGTCGAGCCATTGATGAAGAACCCAATATCAACTGTCATCCAATATCATAGTAATTGATTATGAAAGAAACAAAAAGCAATTTATGTCAAGACTATGGAGGAGCCAGTGAGGTGGACTCTCTCTCTCTAGCTCTCTGTTTCATTGAAAAAGAATAAACTTTTTATTCCCTGAAAAACAAAGTGTTCCTTTTCATCAATATTTGTTTCAATCCAAAATACAAATGAACAGCCAAGAAAATGCCTGGAAATGAATGATGATTGCCAATTATCAGTTTAAATATTTACAAAGCTTTTAAGCTGAATTGAAGGTTGAACAGTGAAACGAACCTTAAAAGATGATTTCCCAGAAGCCATTTTTTTCTTTCTTACAAGCTCCGCTTTCTTAGGGATGCTGCTGATAAGCCGTGTCTGAAAACATCACATCCACAGTTCACTTGCTTACGGTTCGTTTAATTCCTTCTCCAGAGAAAGTCAACCAATTACAATTAGCCAGGCCGGCTCAGGCTGTCTTCCAAATTATCCTAAACTCTCCTTCTTCGAGACCATGTCTACTGTACGCTGTCGTTTCGCTCACGTGACTTGGAGAAAAAGCCTGCCCTTTATTTGAAAGTTGAAACCATTCGTTTCTAACTTCTTTCACAAGCACCGTTCTTGTCGCGCAAGCTAGTAGAATTGGCTTGTACGTCAAACATTGTAGAATATTTTTATCTCGAAGTCTCTCTCTCTCTTCAGCTTTTCCACATTGATCTTGGTTTTCTTTTTTCTTAAGGTTTTTTCTTGTTTCTGAACATCAAATTTTCAGTCTCTTTTGCTTGAGACTTTTATATTGTTTTGCTAGGCTAATTGTTCAATATTAATATCTTCCTTGTTAGGCGCTAGCCAGGATGGAGTCCGAGAAAAACCAAGCTGAAATCCAAACCCCAACTTCTTCATGTCAAAGGGTGAAATCTGATAAGAATGCAGGGTTCGTGGCTAATATGCGGGATCAGTTCAGTGAGTTTATTCATGCTCCCATTGATGAACACAAGGCTTGTTTCATAGAAACCTTTCGTAAGGTAATTATATTACTAGCAATTTTTATTTTTTTACGTGCTGTTCTAACTTCTAATTAATGGCTTATTTTGGTGCGAAACAGGCAATTGACGACTGGGACTGGCATCGCATTGATACGTTTGATAACTTTACAATTCTTTTCCCTTTTCAGAAGAAAGACTAGATCCGGCCTTAATGAAGCTGAGAGCTCTTTCTATCTCTTGCCATGCTTTTATTATTTGGGATGTGAAAGTTGGGTGCAACAGTTTTTCAGGAAAATGTCGAACATAATTTTTATATATATATATATATATATTTCGTAGTGGCATAGCAGAGAAGGTTATGATTTATTGCTTTTTTGGTGTAAAAACACTGTTTTAATTAGCAGATTATCTCTTCATATGAACTATGATATTGTTGTGTTCTTTCTATTTATAGCCAAAATCATAATCCTCTATCTCCTCTCCTCTTTGCTGAACTTTAACATTAACAGGTGTTTGGATTGAGGGGAGAGGAAGAAAAGGAAAGTAAACAAAATCTCTGTTTTTTTATTTGGATAAATATTTAATTTAAAAGGAGGAAAAGAGGTGAAAATCAAATAACATTTAATTCTTTTTGTAAATTTAATTTTTTTAATACTCTAATTTGGAGGAAAAGTTAGAGAAAAAAAAGTTAAAAAATTTTTTTTATAAAAGGACTATTATGTCCATTATTTTATTAATACTAAAAATTAAATAAAAAAATTTAAGCAGATCATAATTATCATATAATTTTTTCAAACTCATCTTTTTTTTCAAGTAAATTTTATAAATATCTTTTAATATAAATTTTTTTTTTGATTTTTTGGTGATTTGATTGTGATGAATGGTTTAATATAAATAGATATATTTTTTGAGTTTATGAGATGTCAGACTAACTTAAAATTTATCAATGCATATTTGTAAAATATCTTCATATTTCACTTTATTAAAAACCATTGATATAGTAGTAATTGTGAGGTAAGACAAGATAGCAAATATATTATGATAAAAAAATGCTCTAAAATTACAAATAATGAAATATTATAATTGAAAAAAATTATTATAATGAATCATTTCTTCTTTTTTTTTTCATTATTTATCCAAATAATGGTTGTTAGAATTCATTTTCCTTTCTTTTCTTTTATTAATTTTAATTATCCAAACAAATGTTACATATATCATTTACTTTCTTTTAAAAAAATTTTTTTCCTTTTCTTTCCTTTCTTTTATTAATATTTATCTAAATATAGCGTAAGATTGCGTTTCTTCTCATGTTATGATTACTCCAATGGAATATGATTACTTAAAATGTGATCGTTGGAAATTAAATTGATGAGAAGATAACACTATAATGTTTGATATATATATTTATATGAAAAATGTTAATTAAAATCATAAGAAAGTGTTGTTTTACTTTCTCACAACATGGAAAGTAACTTTCTCACCTTTCATGGAATCACATTATAATCTTTTTGTGAAGATGTGATGCTTATGGGAAAGTTACATTCTCAAGAATGTAACATATCAAACAAGAGAATCTGCCTCTTACCAATTAAAATCCCAAGAATGTGAGTACATGCCACCATATCGAACGCCTCCTAACATTAATTTTAAGGCAATGAAGGGTATACAGATTACTAGATCATCTATGTTGGATGAGAAAGATATAAACAGAAACCAAGAATTTGGCCTGGTGGAAAAAAGAACAAATAAAATGAGTTGTATGACATTAAAAAAAAAGGGTCAATAGGTAGATTTATCATTTACCATAGTGTCCATATATGAAGGTGGACAGATAAGATCATTACATCAAAAAAGGAGGAAAAGAAAGACAAGAAATAAGAATGTAAGGGGAGATAAATGACGGCCTTTAGATTAGTGCGTAGCAAGTGCACTTGGAGCAAGGCTTGATTGATATTAACCTGCAGCAAAAAATGTACATCAATCAAATGGTAATCAGCATTTAATCTTTTAATTGCAACTACAAATATATATATATGATTATTCCAGTTTTATTAGGGATTACGAAAATTAAAAATGAGTATATACTTATTGTACATTTGATTAAACTGTCAGACCGGTTATTAATTTCGAAAATATAGAGCTAAATCATCTACTTCATCAGCAGTTAAATGCAAATCATCTCAATATTACCATACAAATGCAATTAATGTCATGTCAATATGGTTAATATCATATCAATAAAGATAACGACAGAAACTCATTCGATAATATCATTAATATCGGATTGAAATTTAAAATTTAAAAAATACAAATAGTAATATTTTCAATGAAGATAACGGTAGAAATTCAGTAATTTCATTAATATTGGATTAAAATTTAAAATTTCCAAAAATAAAAATAGTAAAATTTTTTAAATCATTATAGATTGACTAAATTCGCATTTTAACTTAAATAAAAAGACTAATAGCACAATTTGACCTAAACTTTTTCAGCAAATAGCATCGTCTACTGTTGCATTCGCCATTCTCCACTAGAGCTTTAGATGCTTCAGCCTGTAGAATTTGAAAAAATAAAAATAAAAATAAATTAGCTCAACATCAATAGATAACTCTAGTGTTACAAATTTGGTAGGGTATAGAATATTCTTGATACTTAGAGATTTGTCTGAAAAAAGTTTGGAATGAATCATAATTCACAGTGAACTACTATTACTTATCAGAATGAAAAATGCAAATACGTTTGAAGTGCAGACGAGATTAAAATCTAAGGGCTTAATTTTATATATTGAATTTCATTCCTGTGGCAGGGGAATTTGAGATGATGCTTCATCCACCTCACTGGTGCACTGCCTTTTCTCTCAAGCAAGTTGATGCTTCTAAAAATCTTTTAAAATCAGTAAATATAAATATATAAAATTTTACCTCTCCTCTTCATTGTTGATGCCATTAGCCCTGCTGCTTCCTCCATTTCTTCTATACTTAGGAAGGGGTACTTCGCCTGATTCGATGCGGTTGATGTCATCTAAAAGGATTTCATACTGCTTTTTTACTTCCTGCTCGTTTGTTCCTCCGACTAGCTTGGCTATTTTTTTCCATCGATCAGGAATATCCTTGTCGTATATTGCCAGACCATTCTCAAACGATTTATTCTGCTCAGGCGTCCAATTTGAGTTGTAGGAAGAGGATGATCCCATTTTGTTACCAGAAAAAAGGATAATCTTGTTGCCAATGACCAAAGCCTTGATCAGTGCCAATCTGACAGAAGAAGAAGTAGAAGAAAAAATGGAAGGGAAATCCTAAGATAGAGAATTATATGGCAGAAATGTATTCACTGTTATTTAAGATATATGAGACATAAATGAGCCAAAGAAAACTCCAATTGGGCAGCGGATAATCAGGAAACAAGGCTTGATAGGTTGATGCAAGTTGCCAAATAGAATTTTGCTGCATTTATTATATAATAATTAAGCAAGAGAGAGATGGAAATTTGAGATCAATATTCCAAGGATGGATGGTCAATTTCTTCTTTTCCAAGTCTATTCGATTCATATATAATTTATCAATTATAAGTACGATGTTGTGATAATTTATTAGCATGTTGGATTTCTTAAATGGATAATTAATGCAGTTAACATTCTTGAAAGAAATGAACCTAGTGATCACTGACCTGTTATAAGTATATTATACCTAAATCATTTTGAACTTGTCTTATCAACTATGGCTAACTAGGTTAATATAGGAGACAAAATTTCAAAACCACTCCATTCTTCAAGGAAATGTGAGGAGGAAAATGTGGAACAAGGTTGCTGAAAGCTGTGAGAATAATCTTGGAACTTTGCAGGAAGAAGTTATGGAAAACTCAACTCTTTTCTGCATATGCTTTTTTTTTTTTTTTTTTCATTTTATAATGCGTCCAAAGGAATCTTCTGTTTTATTTCAGATGATTTAAGGGTGTGTTTGGATGAAAAAATTTAAGAAAAGATTTCATTTGTAGATAGATTTTTAAAATTTTTAAATGAAATTATCTTATTTGACAAAACAAAAATTAAAATTATCAAAATTTTTTGAATTTGAATGAGGAATTTTGGAATCTCAATTTTTTTTTTCAAATTTTCTCTAAGGAAATAGAATTTATGAAATTTCTTGACTTTATAGTAAGGATCAACATTCACTATGTTTTCTTTCTTTTTTTTTTTTTTTATGCAACATTTGTTTTCTTCAATTTTAACTACAAAAAAACTCATCATATATATATATATATTTTAATTTTTTATATTGTTAGTAATACCTACATATTTTTACAAATCTAATAACTCCCATATTAAATTTTTTTTTTTTAGTATTTTGCTTTTCTATCTCTAATATCATTATTTTATCTATTATAATTGCTTTTTATCTCATTAAAATCAAATATTTAAAATTTTTTTAAAAAAAATAATTATCTAAACAATGTAATTACAAAATTTACTATTTTAAAATTGATGCATTTTAAAATATTAACATTCTAAAAATTTATAAAATTTTAACATTTTTTATCCAAATGCATCCTCTTTTTCTTTTCACACGAGTGAGACAATATATGAAATGGTCTATAGTAGTTAAGCACTAAAATTCCTGCAGCTTCCCAACAATAGTAGCCTCTCACAATGTGCAAACAAGCCTTGTGACTTCAAGGACGGTATTGGCATTACATATTGTTACTAACATTAATTTTTTTTTAATCTTAATAATAACTGCTAATTTTGTAGTTTGATCTCCCAAAAAAAATCTTCGAATCTTTATCGTGAAGAGCCAGGCGAGAGATGAATCACGGGCCAGCCAAAACAAATCAATTTCAAAGCATGCCCTGACATCTATCTGTGTTAAACAAGAAAAATCCAAATCCATAGATAGAGCTGTAGATATTGGTTTGTCAGGTAGCCTTATTAAACTTGTTTAACTGTACTTATTGCTTAGCCAGATCATTCAATCTCATCCTCAGTTATTAATCTTTTTTTTTCCTGTCAAGTTGTCATGTTTTTATGGTGGCCAAATTCAGTGAACATTAATTTCTAGTCCTCGAGTTAGATGGTTGGCCTCATCCAAATAAAGAGAACTTCAAAACTACAAGCTGATTGTTGAAAATGATAAGGCTACGAAGGTATCTCAACTTTATCATCACAAACATATGATTATTATATTATAACTAACAATCATAATTTAAAATTATAAAAAATTTATGTAGACATCATTTTTTTTTTAATTTTTTTTTAACAGTGACTCTGACAATTGCCTATAGCTGTACTACCAATAATCTTGACAACCACTAGTAGTCGTTTTGACAATCGATAACTGCTTAATCTTAGGCCACTAAAATCTCATATTTTCTAAAATTTTATCTTTTTTTTTTCTATAAATAGAGCAATAAAATTAGTGATAAAGAGAAGGAGAAAGATAAGCCTAGAAACCCTGGTAAAAAAAAAAAAAAAAAAAAGAAAAGACCTGCAAAAAAAAAAAGTTTCAGAATAATTTTTTTTTTTTTTGCAAAAAAAAATCAATACAAAAATACAAGCAAACCAATAGTCCCTGAAATGGGAACCTAACGCCAAAGAGCTACCTAAAATAAAAAAGAAAAATCGTTAGTTTGAGCTTTGTTTTTTTTAAAAAAAAAAGAGAAGGGCAAAACTTTGAGCCTCGACTACGTCGATCGAGTTGTTTCTGGTGAAAAGAACACCAAATCTAAAAAAGAAGACAAAGAAATGAAGCTTCTGGCTATTTTGGAAGCTTTTAGTGCCGACGATCGACGACCGACGGTAAAGCATGGCTGTCGACACGATGGATAGCTACCAACTGATCCGTCTAAAGAGAAAAGCTCTGAGAAAAGGGAGGAAAAATGAGAGAATTTTTTTTTAGCTTTTATAGAAGACTGGGACTCAAAACGACGTCGTTTAAGGAAAGGGTTGAAACGATATCGTTTTGTTGAAGGAGAGGATCCGTGCATGGACTCGGATCTGACCCGGTATCCGCACAAATTGACCCATCGACTCGACGCCCCTTAGCCCTAGACCTGATCGGTCTAATCGAATCGACTTTAATCGCCTCTGCCCCGAATCGCTAGACCAAACCGAACTGACGTTGATCAGATCGTTGACTGGTTCGGTTCAGGTTTTTTTTTTTGAATTTTTTAAAAAATATTATTTTTGTTATTTTAAATTTTATTATTAATATTTATGCATGTTAAAATGTTTAAATTTGCTAGATTAAATTTTTGTTGTTTTATAATAATTAATAAAAATAAATAATGAGATATATAGTAAAATTTTGTGATATTTTTATTAATAAATCTTATAAAATAATATAAATTAATAAAAAGTGTAAGAAAAGGGAATTTTTATCCAACGATGAGATTTGCAAGTATTTCGAGTAGTGATACCTACGAAATCTTTAGGTGAAATTTTTTTTTAAAATATTATAAGTGTATTGGAGTGTTTATAAAAAGTTTTTAATACAATAAAAAATTCTCTTTTTCTTAGTAAAAAATAAATAATAAAAATTAACTAATAAATTAAGAATAAGAAATAAAAGTGAGGAAAGAGGAAATATTATCTGAGAATAAGTTTCTAAAAGTATTTCGAGTAGCGATGCTTTACAAAATCCTAGGTGAGAAGATATTTTTTAAAATATTATCAGTGTATTAGAATATTTATAGAAAATCTTTAATATAATAAGAATTCCTCTTTTTTTTCAGTTTTTAATTGAAAATATTAATAAAATTTCTAAACAAAAATAAAATGTGTGTATTGACGTATTATCATTTGCATTGCATAGTTCTTTTACAAAAAATAAATTTGAGCCTTCGAGGATGAGATTCTAAGGTATTTCCAAGAAGCAATGCCTAAGAAATCTCTAAGTGAGAAAAAAATTCTTCTAATGTTACCAACATACTGAAACATTTTAAAAATTATTTTGATAAAAAAGTTATAATTTATTTTTCTCGAATAAAATTAAAGCACTAAATAATTAAAAAAAATAATTTCCAACAAATAAAAAATAAAAAAAATTATTTTTCAAACACAAAAAATATGACTATTTTTTTATTAAAATCAAAAGGATAACACGTAGTTAAGTGGTATCATTTTTAAACGGACGCTGTGGAGGCGCTAATCATTTCTCTCGCATAATTAACTCCCGAATCCAGACTGTTCGTAGACCATAAAATTAGTTTTTTTAATAAATTTTAATTAATTTTAAAATTTTATTAAAATGATAAATTTTAATAGGTGGTCAATCGCACTTAACCAAAAAAGATTGGTAACAACCTTTTTTTTTTATTTTTTTTAAATTCGTCAAGCGGACACAAAACTGTTACGACAATTTATATAAAACTCATAATATTATTATATAATTTTTTATTATGATTAAATAATTATAATATTATAATAAAAAGAATTATAGGTAAATGAATCCTTATAAAACATGCCTCTGCCAATAAATTTTAACTTCTAATTGTATTTTTTGAAAATTTGATAATTTTAAATATGATAAAAAATTATATTAATAATATTATTTAAAAATTTAATAAAAATTATATATAAATTTAATAAAAATAAAAAATATATTTTATTATTTCATATCAATATGAATTATAATATAATAATTTTTATATTTTATATATATTTTAAAAAAATAAATATGACACATATACAAAAGTTATCAAAATTTTTTCTCGCTTTTCTTTTCTTCATGCTTTACCTAATTTTGTTGAAGAGAGTTATCTATGGTGTCAATTGTCAACTTCTTTGTAATCCTAGTTTAATAAAAAAAACTGCTAAGCTCATAAGAAAAAAGAAAGAAAAAGTTATCTATGGCGTCAATTGTCAACTTCCTTGTAATCCTAGTTTAATAAAAAAACTGCTAAGCTCATAAGAAAAAAGAAAGAAAAAAAGGTCCCACCGAGATTTGAACTCGGGTTACTGGATTCAGAGTCCAATGTCCTGACCACTAGACCATGGGACCGGAGTTATTTTAGGCATCACAAATATAATAATTGGATCTACCAAATGGAAAAAATAGTGAAAATGACAAAACAATAGTTTTTCTTATCTCTTTCAAAAGTTGTCGTAAGGGTCCCACGTCAACCGCCTGATTGGCAGATTCCTTGTAGTCGAAAGAATCTATGCTCACTAAAAATGTTTTTGGTGAAGTTGCGAAACCGGCGGTTATGGAGATGTGGCGGAGGGGCTTTAGCAGCAGCTTCAAGGCTGCCACGCAAGCACTAAAGGAGAAGAAATGGGACGCATTGGTGATCGGCGGTGGGCATAATGGGTTGACAGCCGCGGCTTACTTGGCTCGTGGCGGCCTGTCCGTTGCCGTGCTCGAGCGACGCCACGTCATCGGTGGGGCAGCCGTAACCGAAGAACTTATTCCTGGGTTCAAATTCTCTCGCTGTAGTTACCTCCAAAGCCTCCTCCGCCCCTCCGTTATCAGGTGTGTGACACTTATTTTTCCGTTTTGAAAACTAGTAAACAAGAAACTTTAACTTTTGTTTTTGTTTTTGTTTTTGTTTTTTTTTATTTTTGTTAATAATATGGGTTTTTTGGTGTGGCAATGAAATTGAAGAGAGCTAGAATTAAAGAGGCATGGCTTGAAGTTATTGAAGCCGACGGCGACGACGTTTACGCCTTGTCTCGATGGGCGTTACCTGCTATTGGGACACGATGATCAACATAATTACTTGGAGATATCAAAGTTTTCAAAACGTGATGCGGATGCTTATCCAAGGTGTTCGTTTTTTTTTTTTTTTTTTTAAAGTTGTTTTCCAGTTTCTCTAATTAAATTCAATTTTAATTTTTTTAGAAAATTAAATGTAAATTCCTTAATACATTTTTAGTATTTCAAATTCTCTAATTTTCAATTTTAAGTATTAATTGTCCACAGATATGAAAACCAGCTATATAAATTCTGTAAATTGATGGACTTTCTTTTGGATTCACGGACTCCTGAAACCTTGCACTGGGATTCAACCTTTACTGATCGGCTGCGGGATAAGTTAGAGAAATCAGCGTTTTGGGTTCGCTGCCTGAGGCATATTTTGGATTTGGGGCAAAAGGATATGGTGTAAGTCATATTGATCTTTCTTGTGGATAAGTATAGATAGTAATTTTCTCATAATTTTATTGTAGTTTCCTAATTTATGTTCCAATATTTTCGCAGAGACTTTGTTGACCTTTTATTGTCCCCTACATCAAAGGTTCTAAATAAGTGGTTCGAGGTCATAATTATCCTAGTTACTTTCTTTTACTTCACGAGAGATGATATATCCTGCTTAATGCTTGAGATGATGAAATTAGTGCTTGATTGTTTGTCAAAGTCTACATGTGCCAACTGAAAGCTTCTAGTTAGTTGAAGTTATGATATCAGGCCCAAAACTGTTTTGGTGGTTTTCAATAGTTGATGACTTGATTAAAATCAATTGCTGAGCTCAGAATAAAAATGTCAACCGGCCAACCCCAGATCTATTCCTGCATTTGTTTGTTATGACCACAAGTCTGGCTTTCGTTAATGCTCATAGTCCTTACTCCTTATATCCTTAAATGGTATATGCATACCATTTCAAGCTTTGATAACTAGCAATCTACGTGGCTAAGGTCCTTAATTAATGTATGTTTCAAACTTGAGATGGAACAATTAGCATTTGGTTTTTAAATGAATTAGGAAACTTTGTGGTGTAAAAGTTACATTTGGGTTATGAATTTATAATCTTACATAACTGAGCTAAGTGATTGACTATTAGTTTTTTAATCAAGAAACTTAACGTTGATGCCAAGAATGATTTTTATCATCTTATGGGTTGTTTGGGTTTTGGCAGAGTAATATACTGAAGGCAGTGCTTGCTGGAGATGCTATTGTCGGAAGTATGGTAAGACCTTCATACTTATTAATGGTTGCAAGTATATCTTGACATTTCCTGTTAGACAGATAATGGTAGAAAATTAAAAGTGAATTGGAAATCTTCTGTGTTTAGATCATATCAGTAAATAATAATGCCCCATTCTTTAATGGACTGAAAGTAATTCTACATGCTAGTTTTATATCTATATCCTGATTTAGCCACCAGGATTTCCACCCTCTTCTGAAGGGGCTTTTGAATCTACATGATAGCATGATCCAGTGACCTTGGGCATTAATAATTGTTATTTTCAATTGTTTTCCTGTAGGCAAGTATTCATACTCCTGGGAGTGGATATGTTCTACTGCATCATGTGATGGGTGAAACTGATGGTGATCGTAACATATGGTCGTGAGTATCTCAGAGGCAAATTTAGTCAGTGGACGGATAACCAATTTGGTCATCTAGAAAAATGAAAAGACTACTAATTACACCAAGCTTGGGTTGAATTGAATTCCTCCTTTTAATTTGTGGAATAAAATTGAGATTGCAGTCTCTTTTCATCAATGCCCTCATAGGTTAGATCATTTATGGTAGAATGCATGATTGATGACATTGTTTTGCATGATACTATTTAGATTAATAACAAAGTACTTTCTGTTTGATGGTAACTATTGGGATGCTATTGAAGAAATTCTCCTGGTTTATGTCCTGCTCACCGTAGAGTAGGCTTAACTCAATGCACTCAACATGTGCTGTAGGCATGTTGAAGGCGGGATGGGCTCCATATCCATTGCCATAAGTAATGCTGCTATTGAAGCTGGAGCTTCTATCATGACAAATGCAGAAGTATGCCTGCCCTTCTTTCATTGCATCAGAAAGTTGGAATTTATGACTCTACGACCTAACACAATTTCTCAATAGTTTTTCTCTTTTAATTTCTCTAAACTTCCCTAATGTATTATCGTCATTATTCTGTCGAACAAAGTGTCATTATTTCTTAATCTTCTTATGCAACTGGTAGGTGTAAAACACTTAAATTCTTAACTAAAATGGAATAACCTTTTTCTAGATTAATGTTGAGTATCCAACAAACTCATTGGCTTGTTCATGCCTTTCCAGTTATTCTATGGAATTGTTTACTTCTGGTTCTCCGCCAAGTTTCGTATCTCTTGCTGGTTTTCAATTCTTCATTTTGCTGTACAGGTGTCACAGTTAATGATTGGAGATTCTGGTACAGTAAAAGGGGTTAGTTCACTGCTTGGACTGACATAATGGATAAATCTGGAAGTGTTTATTCATAAGTAGATTACTCATTACCATATTGATAATCTAGGTGTTGCTAGCTGATGGGACAAGAGTACATTCTTCAGTTGTTCTATCAAATGCAACCCCTCACAAGACCTTCCTGGTATGATTTTCTAGTGTTAACATGTCTCCATGTCTGTTTCACGAATTGAAGAAGTATTGATTTAAAAGTTGATATGTTAAGAAGAGATGAGCATCGGAGAATTACACTGGTAAAAGATGAAAAGGAAGATTCCTATCAAATTGTTCTCCATGTCTTTTTGATGCAGGGGTTGGTTCCTCAAGATGTTCTCCCTGAAGATTTTCTTCGTGCTATCAAGTACTCTGACTATAACTCTGTAAGATCACTTCACTGTACGCTATCACATCTTTTAGAGATGGTACCATGGGTGAACCTACATTTATGCACACATTTCATTATTCTCATGTTGTAGAATACGAAATTTTTTATCCATCTTTCTGCTTGGTTGCCCTAGTTTGATGATGATTTCCGAATGAAAGTGACCAAAAAAACTTACTAGGCGAAGACTTCCTTATGCACACTTTTCCTAGTTTCTGTATTTGGAATTTATTCAAGAATCTAGATTTGCTAACACTGAATGGAACAGGGAACCACAAAAATCAATGTGGCTGTTGATAAATTGCCCCAGTTCCATTGTTGCAGATTAAATAATCCAGAAGTCGGTCCGCAGCATACAGCTACTATTCACATTGGTTCTGCAAGGTATACTAAATGTAATTGCTCAGATCTTTTTAATAAAAAAAGAGTTAATGTCCATATGCCGGACATACTCTTATGGTGAGGGAATTTTATTTCATGGTCTCTTTGTCACCTTACTGGCAATAATCTTGAAGCATTATGCTGTTAAAATAAGCACATACAAAGATGGTCTCATTAGTTTGACAGCTTGCCCTGGCTTCTACCTGCCTAGCTTTCAATAATATGGATTTTAGGTAGAAGCAATAATAACAATGCTTGTAGCAGGTCCACTTTGGTTAAATATTAAATCGTATCATTTTACATTGCCTCTTTCATTTCGGGGACTGGTAATGATCCTGTATACAGCTGCATTGAACTATTGTTTAAAGGCTAAACATTCTTAGCGGTGTCCATCTGCTTGTCTGAAGTTGCAACTTTATGTAATTTTTTAAACAGTATTATTGGCTTTTAGGGGATTACACCTTATAATGTTATGACTTCATCTTTTTGTTTTTTCCCCATTGTTCACTTGGCACTGTAAAAGCATGGACGATATAGGATCAGCTTGTCAAGATGCTTGGAATGGGTTACCTTCAAAACGGCCTGTTATGGAGATGACAATTCCTTCTTCATTGGACAAGACTGTTTCTCCACCTGGTATAGAGAACTTAATCTTTCTTCTGCGTTTCTCCATTCATAATGTGCTCAACTTTTTTAAATGATTTTCTCCTCCGGGTATAGCAAACTTAATCTTTCTTCTGCCTTTCTTCATTCATAATGTGCTCAACTTTTTTAAATGATTTTGTCTTTGAACCATGCCTCTATTGAAGTTACAATGGTAAATTCAATTTAAAATCTTTTAGACTTTTATCAAGAAAAAGTCAAAATTTTCCAATTGAAGTATTTGGATAATTTTTATTCATTTATTATATATTAAGATTTTGTGGCTATGGTTGAGCCATGTCAAGTTTCTGTGGTAACTCCAACAGAACCAGTCTGTTGGTTCAGAATTCATTTCCCCATAGCAAAGTTAGTTCAACAAAACATTCTATGAATTGATCAAGTCCAGTCTTCCTTTTTCTTTTACAAGAAGTGATTCCAAACTGAAAGTAGCAAATAAATGGAGATTGCATCTCAAACATCTTGAAAACAGGGGCTACAGTGATGAGAAAAGCAGACAGCCTGTAATTAGCAACCTGCCCATTTTCCCTAAAAACCTTTAAACAAACCTAGAAAAATTAGGATAACTTGTATGGTAAAGTTTAGTTGTATGCATATGGATTAGAGTTGGGCAAGAAGGATACTTTTTCTTCTTTCTTTGGTGGGTTCAACCTGCAAAAGGGGGGGGGGGGGGGGGTTTATTGGAGAGAGACAACTTACAATTATCAATTGATATAGAAATTCAAGATATCGTAGATAAGTCATCTCCTCTCAGCTATTAAGTTATTTTATTTTATATCTACATGTTGCATTTGTCATTAACATTGGTGCATTTCCGTGTAGGAAAGCATGTGATTAGCTTGTTCACGCAATACACACCCTATAAACCCTCTGATGGTAGTTGGGAAAATCATACATACCGAGTAAGTTTCAGTTATTTAGTAACAGTATGTCTTTGTTCATGTCTAAGTTGTATAATAGCAAAATTACTGCTGTCTTGGTAGGAATCATATGCACAGAGATGCTTTAGCTTGATTGATGAATATGCCCCTGGCTTCAGCGCATCAGTTATTGGTTATGACATGCTCACACCACCTGATCTTGAAAGGGAATTTGGTCTAACGGGTATGTGTACCATTCAACTTTTCATGATGTACAATGAGAACTGAAAATTTGAATGCATGTACCTCTTTTAGCTACAATCTCATTCTTCTTTGGACCTAGGCTATAAAAGTGAATTTGGGATAGATTATCTGTTGACTATAATCTAAATGTTGAATTTTCTGTATCTTTTATGTATACATGGCAGGAGGAAACATTTTTCACGGTGCTATGGGATTGGATTCACTATTCTTGATGAGACCTGCAAAAGGATGGTAATTCTTTGACATTTGAGAGTAATTATCATATGGAATGATCCTACTGCAGAAAATTAGTTTGATTTCAGATATATCCACATCTTTGCTTGCGTTCAAAACTTTGTAACAAGAAGAAAGTTTACTTTCTTTACTTCAGGTCAGATTATAGGACACCGGTAAGAGGACTATATCTGTGTGGAAGTGGAGCACATCCTGGAGGCGGAGTGATGGGTGCACCTGGACGTAATGCTGCACGCATTGTCCTCCAGGATTTCAAGAAGCAGTTTTCTTAGGAATTTTCTAGTAGCTTAGTTTTCCGGGTCCTTCTTGTGTCAAACTTAGAATGAACAATTAAACTAAGCTTACAATTGACTGCTTATTCTCCCTGAACTCTGATACTATCAATTGGCACTTTATTCATTATGGAGCTCCTTGTGGCTCCAGCATCAATATATCTTCGCCTTACATATGATGCCAATGCCACTATGTTCCTTTAGTAGCCATCATTGATTGGTGTCGAGAGTTTGTTAACCTAGTTTTAGGTCTGAAATGGGGGTGACCGTTGAAAGCGGCTTGAGATGGCGATAAAGAGATACGGTTAGGTTTGCGGATAGTGAAAATTTTGGATAGGTTACGTGTTGGAGAGCTCGGAGAAAAATTCATTTTACTTGGTAGGGGAAAATTTTTAAACTTTTTTTTTTTATAAATGAAGAGATTTAAATCTTTGTCAATGCATTTATTTTTTGGGCTTTTGATGAGGGCTTGGGCCGTTTCTTCTTTGGGCTTGGTCCACTGATTTTCCCAAATTTTTATGCTTTGAACAGGCTTGCCCGACTGTTTCCGAGCGCCAGTGCCTGTTAATATATTTTGGAATTGTTAAATGCGGAGATTCGCTTCCATTGAGCTGTCGGCTGAACCCACATGTCACCTTACTAAATAATAGTAGTAGCATCTAAAAACGGCAACGACTGACGTGGATTTCGTTATCTTGATTTGATTCTCTTCCTGGTACCAGCATAAACCATACCAAACAAACATTTGCTACACCCGCATTCTCGTTTTTCAAAACAATTTTCAATCTCTCTCTCTCTATTTTTGGCCTCCAATCAATAAGCAGAAACAAGCTACCCCCTCCCCCTTGTAATAAGGCTTTGCCCCTCCCCTTGAAACCAAAAAAACCAAGCTCACTTCAGAGTTCAAAGCAATGTGGCGAAGGAGCTTGAGTAGTGGCAGTCAAGCGAGCGCCTTGCACGCGCTGAAGGGGAAGAATTGGGACGCGCTTGTGATCGGAGGTGGCCACAACGGCTTGACGGCGGCGGCTTACTTAGCTCGAGGTGGACTCTCGGTGGCCGTTCTAGAGCGACGCCACGTCATCGGTGGAGCGGCAGTGACCGAAGAACTCATCCCTGGCTTCAAGTTCTCTCGATGCAGTTACCTCCAGAGCCTCCTCCGTCCCTCCGTTATCAGGTTCTCAAAGCTCATTTTCCATTTTATACTACTATTTTATTTCATTTAGAACAATTTTTTTGGTTTTTTAGAGTAAATGAGTCGTTCTTCTTATTGTTCAATTGAGTTTGTTAGAGAACTAGAGTTAGCGAGACATGGATTGAAGTTGTTGAAGAGGAATCCATCGTCGTTTACGCCTTGTTCGGATGGAAGATATCTTTTATTAGGACCTGATAATGAGCTTAATCATTCTGAGATCTCCAAGTTCTCCAAACGCGATGCCGATGCTTATTCAAGGTACTTATCTATTTTGATCTCCTTTTAATCTGATTGATTTTCCTTTAAAATTTGAATTCCCTGCTTACATGTATCTATCATGTATGTATGTGATGTGTTTATGTATGTGTGTGAATAATGTTATTATTTCTTGTATGAAAACAAGATAATTATGAATCCTATTCAGAGATAAATTTGAATGGTAACTCTGTTTTTCTTTTTCTTTCTTTTCTTCAATAATCTGTTTTACTGTTTTTTGAATTTTATAGATATGAGAGCCAGTTAGAGAGGTTCTGTAAACTCATGGATCCACTTTTGGATTCACCGCCTCCTGAATCTTTGCAAGGTACTTCATCTTTTCAAGATCGCTTCAAGAATAAAGTACACATCTCAGCCTTTTGGACTTGTTTGCTGCACCAGGCTGCTTCCTTGGGGCAGAAAGACATGGTGTAAGATTTACTCTCCCTAAGTTGGAGTGGTTTCTGATGTTGTCAATGTTGCTTCACGTTATTATTGTAATAGAAAGTAGTTAGAAACTGGCTGATAGGATACTTTCTTCAGTCAAGTTCATACAAAGTAATTAACTAAGTAGCTGCTTGCACGTTTCAATTCTGGTCAGTAAGTCCAGTCCAGTGAAACCAGTCTAGGCCTTACATCATGTCTATTTATTTACTTTTACAGGGATTTTATGGATCTTTTATTGTCCCCGGCTTCAAAGGTTTTGAATAACTGGTTTGAGGTTGCTGTTTGATTCTTTAATTCCCTTTTTTTATCCTTTTAACTTCATGGATTAAAATGATCAGGAAGTTTGTTTTTATTTCCTTGCATGGCATAAGTGAAGTTGATTTATGGTCATTTCAGCATAGTTTTGTTTTATGAATATTTTGCCTTGTCTGAAACTAGTAACTTGAATAAAGTTTGAGACTGGTGGGATGCTCATTTTCTTTCTCTGTAGTAGCTAAAGGATCAGACATTACTGTATATGTAACAATTTATGCCAATTCATCAAAAAACATTCCATCTGAGACCAAAGAGTACTGATTTGGAGGTTTGAGTGAGATTTACGTTTTTATAGTTTTCCCTTTTAGTGAAAATTGTGGGTTCAGATCTTACCAGTTAGAAATAAATGTGTTATTATATAAAAGGGTTTAAAGTTAAATCAATTTACAGTTCTGTTGTTGGCTGTGATATGTACAGACAGATGTTCTGAAGGCAACCCTTGCAACAGATGCCGTGATAGGCAGTACGGTAAGAACTTTTAATAAAAGTGGTAAGACGCCTCAGTTTTGACATTTACATCAGTCTATATAATCAGTCATGAGAGGGACATATTCTATACCTTAAACATGCCGTGAAATTTACCAAGCAGTTTTTTTTTTTTTTTCTTTGTTTTCAGAGAAGACTGATATGGTGGTGGTTGTTATCAAAATGGTTCAAAGGATGAATAAATGAACAGTTTTTTTCTTTGGCTACATTTTAAACCTTAGTAGATCATTTGACTTCTACTTTAATTTGTACTGCAGGCTAATGTTTGCACACCAGGGAGTGGATATGTTCTGCTACATCATGTGATGGGAGAAACTAACGGTGATCGCGGAATTTGGTCGTATGTATATTATTGCTGAATTTGTCTATTAAGTTGGGCATCAGCAACATAGCAAGCCTTGAATTGGTCCATTATCCTTCTCCTATTCTTTAGAATATATGAATGTATTTTTTCTAACAGCCACATGCTACTTTATATGTCTTGACTCAAGAACCATTGAAAGAAAAACTCAGTAAGAAAATTTTGTGATTCTAGTCTAACCAACTCACATTGGTAAGATTACTTGACTACAAAATTTGGGGTAGCTAAGTTTTGCATCCACTATAAAGATTTGTTTTGCCTTATCTTCTTTTTCTTTTCTCAGTAAGTTAGCCATAGTATCTATAACATAATGAGAGAAGTGGTGCTAATGTTTAAAGTGGCATTGGCTATTGTGGTATTTTTTTACTTTTAGATGTATTCAAGTTGATGGAACTTACAAATCTAGGAGCGTATAACCACAGAACTTTCAGTGCATCCTCTATCCTAAAGAAACAAAATGGTGGAGAATATTAGGCATTCAATTGATGCTTTCCAGTGATTAATCTGAACTTGCTTCTAACTTTTCTGCAATATCATCTAAATTGTTCATGTTGTCTGTAGAATGAGCCTTTTGTTTCTTCTTGTGTAACCAAAAGTAGTGTGATCATGATGCTCCTAATAAACTTTCTGAATTACAATCCAAAATTGAGATTTCATACTGTTTCCTCCTTACCAAGTGATGCCAGTGTGTATTTCATTTTGGCAATTAGGGTCCATGCCAGGTAACCCTTTCTTATGTCAAAATTCTGTTGGAATCCATGCTACTATGGTCCACAATGAATACTCAATTTCCGATTTCTGTTCAATATTTGTTATGCACTTATATACTATGGTGACTCATCCCCTCGTTGGGCTTTGTTCTTGTCCTGTTCAAGTTAACATTTATTCCAGTGAGCCAAAATGTTTTTTTAAATTATGCTAATGCACTATATCATGATAACAATTTTGTAGATATGTTGAAGGTGGAATGGGGTCAGTATCCATGGCTATCGGGCATGCTGCTAAGGAGGCTGGGGCTCATATTGTCACAAGTGCAGAGGTATAGTTGTCTGAATCACTTCTCTAGCTTTCAAATTTCTCCTTCCTCCTTATGACTGAATGGAACTTATTTTATGAAGTTTTATTTTGATGCCTTATTTGATTGTACAAATACATTGAATCACGAGATCCTTTGCTTTTTTCATGCTAAATTGCTATGTCTTGGTCAAATTGATTTCACCTTCCACTGTCCCAATATGAAGCAAAGACCTGGAAATTGGTTACTTTCACGCAAGTCACCATATATCATGCAATTTGTGGAGGATTTCCTTCTCCTTTTTAACTACCATTTTAATTCTTTAATTTATTTTTGATGTTTACACTTTTTTTAGGAGAATGCATGTTGGCAAATGATGTGGATTCTGGGTTTAAACTTGACATATGGTCAATATTATCTTGAGTTCTTGACTAACTGATAAAAGGCAGGAGAACTTTATGCTTCTATTCTCACCTTCGCTATACTGGTTATTGTATTGTCAAGGTTTCACAGCTGGTAGTTGAGGACTCGGGCAAAGTGAATGGGGTTAGTTTTACTGCCTCTGTTTCTGCAATGCAACAGATCTTTAAGCTTGAATCAAACTAATTAGATGCTGTAAACATGACTAACTTGTTTAGGTGTTGCTGGCTGATGGTACACGAGTGCATTCTTCAAGCATTTTATCAAATGCAACTCCTTATAAAACTTTCATGGTAAAAATTTTAGTGAAGCTTATTCAATTGTGTTGCTGAAAGAAGCAGAAAATTGGTGTTGTCAACATAAAGTAGAAAGCAGCCTGTCTACTTTACTATGCTTTTAAAGCATACTTTTATTTGATTATTTGCTATCTTTGAAAATCTGTTGCAGGAATTTGTGCCTAAAAATGTTCTTTCTGATGATTTCACTCGTTCCATTAAGTACTCTGATTACAGCTCTGTAAGAACCTGTCTTATATTCTTGTATTCCATTGCAGCTTTATTAAATGGATTTTGTTCTCTGTCACTTAATCAGCTATGGAATTGCTGGCTAAACAAGCAATCGGCTATACTATTACAATTTTTAATACTTAGTAAGCTTGGATATAGATCAATATATATATGCTGATAAAGAATATTTACAATGTGCACCTCCATAAGTGTAAAATACACTGTAATTTATGCTTAGAAACCGTGATAGTGTCATGAGTTCTTTCTCTTGACAATTACCAAATGTGCCATCGAGCAATAGTTGCAAAATATAGTAATACTGCCAGGTGCTAAACATTTTTCGGTGTCATTTATTGAAACAGGGAACTACAAAAATAAACTTAGCTGTTGATAAATTGCCTGAGTTTCATTGTTGCAAGTCAATTTATCCTGGTTCAGGTCCTCAGCACACTGGTACCATTCATATTGGTTCTGAGAGGTATGCTACTACCCCTTAAGCTTGTTTTTAAATGCTCCAACTAAATTTGAAGCCTCCAACTAGAAATTCGTTCTCACCTTTCAAGTCCAGGCTGAGTGCCATGTAGATGCATGTCATAATAGTGGCTTCTTTTAGAACTGTTACCATAAAGTGTGCTAAGGAAACAGAACATTGGATCCATTGACAAATGAAAGGCAGATAATAATAATCTATGTGGCACAAAACAATAGGAGTCAGATCACATTTGCAGATAGAGATGCCAAGATCGAAGAAGTTTACCACTTGGCAATTGGCATCATAATCTAACTTGCTATTCTGTCTCACAAGCTTAAATCATTATTAGATGTTATATGTATTGTCTGATGATGCACATCTATTTGTCACTCTTAAACTGGACCTCCAAACTTAATGATCCTGGCAATTGTCATCCTAACTCTTATCATTACATTTACCATATCTTCTCTATGTTTAGTGTTTAGAACCCAAGCTTAAAGATATCTGATGCCTACTTTTATTTGTTCTGTCGCTTTTTTCAGCATGGAGGAGATTGATTCAGCCTGTCTAGATGCAGTTAATGGATTGCCGTCAAGAAGGCCAGTCATTGAAATGACAATTCCATCCGTACTGGACAAGACAATTTCTCCACCTGGTACCCACTTTTGGCATCTTTCTATCTGCATATTGTTGGATCCTTTTCTTCTCTCTCTCTCTCTTTCTCCCTTTATTTTCATTCTGAGCTTTGATGATATTTTTCTACTAAAAGTGAGATTAGGAATTAAGTTAAAGAAAGAATTATTCCTTTATACTGTCTATAAGCTTCATGCCAAAAGCGTCTTCTTCTCATCTACAACTTCTCTTTGTTTTGTATTTTGAACTAATGATTTTTATGTTAGACCACAATCACTCTATTTCTTAACTGTGGAAATCTAATCTTTATTATTACTTGATTAGTTGATTTTATCTATTTTAGTTAAGTCTTTTTAGAATAAGAAGTGATTTGGGTAATTACACCAAATCCATTAGATATTTTCCTATTATGTGTAGAGAATAAATTACTCCTTTGATTAGCTGTTTTAATGCATGAAAATCTTGGGTTTTAAAGCTGAGAATATTCAGTGTTTAGCCTATATATTTTCATGCAATTCTAGCATTGCAATAAGAAAAATATAGAAGAAGAAAATAGTTTTATTTTAGAGATTTCTTCATGGTATCAGAGCATGATCTGAACTTTTGAAAATTTTCACTCTAAATCCAACATTGCCAGTGGAATGGAGAGCCCGACGTTGGAGGTTACCTCTAACTTCGGAGCTAGCGTTTCTCAATCACTACAGAACATTACTACTCCTATTCGAACAGGTTATTTAGCACAAAAAGGTAATTTTCTAAGTGACTTGAGTGTAAAACTAGAGAAATCAAATTTATGGATTGTGGATTTAAAAGCTTCAGACCATATGACAGGGGATGCATCTGTATTTAGTAAATACAACCCATGTCATGAAAACTTTAGAGTTCGAATTGCTGATGGGTTACTTTCAAAAGTAACTGGTACAGGTTCTGTTATTATTTCCAAAGGATAACACTTGAATCTGTTTGTTCCAAATCTAAGTTGCAATCTACTGTCTATAAGCAAATTTACAGGAGACCTTAAGTGTGTTACTAAATATCTTTCAAATATGTGTGAATTTTAGGATTTGGATTCGGGGAAAATGATTGTCAATGCTAAGATATATGTAGGACTCTATATCCTAAGAACTAATGATTCTGAAAGACAATATCAAAAGACCTCTTGTGTGGCTTCATCTTCCAATAATAATAAAAATAGTACTATTATGTTGTGGCACTATCGGTTAGGTCATCCAAATTTTTTTTACCTCAAAAGGTTATTTCCTTCAATCAAAATCTTAACAACTTTTAGTGTGAAGTCTGCCAACTATCCAAACATTCTCGTACCACATATCCTGATTAGCCTTACAAACCATCCTATCCTTTTTCAATGATACACAGTGACATTTAGGGACCCTCCAGAGTAAATACCATTACTGGCTCTAAATGGTTTGTCACATTTACAGAGTTGGGTATTCCTTATGAAGGAAAAATCAGAAGTGGGCCAGCTATTCCAAAACTTCAACAATATGATTCAAACTCAATTCAAAACCAAAATCCAAGTGTTGAGAACCAACAATGGGAAAGAATACTACAATTCAATTCTTGGATCATATCTAATGAAACATGGAATAATTCATCAAAGCTCATGTGTCGACACTTTTCAATAGAATGGCGTTGCTGAAAGAAAGAATTGACATTTGTTGGAAGTTGCAAAATCCCTCATGATGGCTGCCCATGTACCTAAGCATTTTTTGGGTGAGGCTATTCTTATTGCTACATATCTTATAAACAAAATGACTACTCGAGTCTTGAAATTTCAAAGCCCTTGCCAATCCTTTCTCACTTCTTATCCTGACCTTCGAATCATCTTGTCTATTCCTATTAAAGTGTTTGGATACACTGCATTTGTTCTTACCAACCAACAAAACTGAAGCAAATTAGATCCCAAATATATCAAATGCATATTTCTTGGATACTCTCCGAATCGAAAAAGATACAAATGTTGCTCACTAGTAACAAAGAAATTCTACCATTCTATGAATGTTACCTTTTTTGAAAATCAATCTTACTTTTCCAAATTTTTCATTCAGGGGGAGAATCCAATCACATGGGAATATCAGTTTTGGGAAGATCCTATTACCGAACCACCAAACACTTTTCAAACTCCTTTTCACGTCCAAAATATCCAACTAGATCTTCCAAGCCCAAAGTCTAGACAAGGGAAAACAAACAAAGAATTGATTATCTATTCAAGAAGACAAAAAACTCAGACGGATATAAGAGAATGTACACCTTCAAAGCAAAACCAAGAATTTGAACCGATTCCAGAGATACTTGAAACCAACACAAGCAACACTCTTATTGAACTTGATTCAATTGAATTTTTTTATGATCTTGATCAACCGATTGCTCTAAGGAAAGGTGTGAGATAATGTACTCAACACCCAATCTGTAATGTGGTTTGTTATGAAGGTTTATCACTCAGTTATTGGGCTTTTGTTACCACACTAAACAATTTGCAGATTCCCAATAATATTTATGAAGCACTCATGCAACAAAAATAGAAGATGGCTGTTTTGGAAGAAATCAAGGCCCTAGGAAAGAACAAAACATGAGAGATTTCAGAACTACCAAAAAGGAAAAATCCAATTGTGTGCAAATGGATTTGTACTGTCAAGCACAATGCAGATGGAAGTATTAACAGATTCAAAGCTCGCCTTGTTGCAAAAGGATTTACTCAATCTTATGGTGTTGACTATGAGGAGACATATGCTCCAGTTGCTAAATTTAATTCAATTCGAGTGTTATTATCATTGGCAGCAAATCTAAATCGGCCACTCCATTAACTAGATGTCAAAAATGCATTTCTTAATGGCAACCTAGAAGAAGAAGTTTACATGAAAATCCCTTAAGGATTCAAAACCTATGACAATTTTGCCAAGGTATGTAAGCTTCAGAAGTCTTTATATGGTCTCAAACAATCCTCACGTGCATGGTTTGATAGACTAACAAAAGTGGTAAAGAAGTATGGTTGTTCACAATGCCAGACCGATCACACCATGTTTGCCAAACATTCACCTAAAGGAAAAATAGTCATTCTTATTGTCTATGTGAATGACATTATTCTTATTGGAGACTATGTGGAAGAAATTAGCAACCTAAATAACCTTCTAGCCAAAGAATTTGAAATCAAAGATTTGGGACATCTCAAATATTTTCTTGGCATGGAGGTAGCTCGCTTAAGGAATGGCATCTTTGTTTCACAACGTAAGTTTGTCCTAGACTTACTTAAGGAAACTGGAATGTTTGAATGTAAACCTGCTGATACCCCTGTGGACACAATGAATAAGTTAGGAATGGAAGAAGGAAGTCCACCAACAGATAAGGGTAGATATCAAAAACCTGTTGGGAAACTCATCTACCTCTCTCATACAAGACCACATATTGGCTTTTCAGTTAGCATGGTAAGTAGATTCATGAAAAACCCAACCAAGTAACACTTGAGGGCTGTGTATCAAATCTTATAGTACCTAAAGCAGAGTCTTGGCAAAGGGTTAGTTTTTTAGAAGATATCACATTGAAATGTTAAAATTTACACTGTTGCTGATTGGGCTGGATCTGTTATTGACCGAAGATCAACTACTGGTTATTGTTCCTACGAGTGGGGAAATTTGGTTACTTAGTGAAGCAAGAAGTAATCTGTGGTGGCTGGAAGTAGTGCGGAAGTTGAGTTTAGAGCTATGTCTCATGGCATATGTGAGGGAATTTGGCTGAAAAGATTGATAGGAGAGTTAAAGGTCTTGGCAGAAGAAACCATGAAGATATTCTGCGATAACAAAGCTGCCATGGGACTAAACATGTGGAGATTGATTGTCACTTCATCAAAGAGAAGATAAGAGTAAGGAATTGTTAGATTAGTTTATACTCCCACATGCCTCCAAAATGCAAACATACTAAAGCTCTCTCTCAAAACAACTTTGAGAATCTAAAGTTCAAGCTGGGCATGATTGACATCTACCACATAGCTTGAGGGGGAGTGTGGAAATCTAATCTTCATTATTACTTGATTAGTTGATTTTATTTATTTCAGTTAGGTCTTTTTAGAATAAGAAGTGATTTGGGTAATTACATCAAATCCATAAATTACTCATTTGATTAGCTGTTTTAATGCATGAAAATATTGGGTTTTAAAGCTGAAAATATTCGGTCTTTAACCTATATATTTTCATGCAATTCTAGTATTGTAATAAGAAAAATATAGAAGAATAAAATAGTTTTATTCTAGAGATCTTTTCAGTAACGTTAATTGTGCTAGTTTACTGATAATCCAGGTTGAATGGGGCTATTTTTCATTATGGGTATAAGAATCATATCTTAAACAAAACATAAGATTTATCTTATATCAGAAGTCAACTTGGAAGCTAAAAGAATCTAATAATTTTGTTGCCAATCTATGTCAACTGTCAAATGTCCGCAGATCACAGTGAAGTCTTAGAAATATACCATCTTCAGGATATACTGTTTGGTTACTTTTCCCTCTTATGAATATATAATAAATATTCCCTTGTAGCAAATGCTCCTTGCAAGATTAAACTGACAAGCTGCTAAAACTTGTCATTGAAGTCTATTTGCATGATAACCATTCAGGATTTATGCAGTATGTTTCATTTTGCTTTCATATAATGTATTCGTGTTTGTTTATCCTTACATAATCATTCTGCTTTGATGTATCAGCATCTGAAGCATCACCTGTTTCAGATTTATTGCTTATAAATTGACGGAATCTTACCTATTTTCATAGGTAAGCATGTCATTAACTTGTTCATCCAATACACCCCTTATAAACCGTTGGATGGCAGCTGGGGTGATCCATCGTACAGGGTGAGTAAAATTTTATCCAAGTCTCTCCCAAGCATAGGTAGGATGTATATCATTGAGGAATTTTCAGAACTTGTTCTCATTGGTAATCTTTTATTTACTATTTAGCTGCTATTGGTGGGCAACGGTTGAGTGCAGGAATCATTGCCCCATTGCTGACCATTCCTTCATAATTTTATGTTTATATTGTAGGAATCATTTGCGCAAAGATGTTTCACCTTGATTGATGAATATGCTCCGGGGTTCAGCTCATCTATAATTGGCTACGATATGCTAACTCCTCCTGACCTTGAAAGGGAAATTGGCTTGACAGGTACTTTATATCCATAATTCTGTTTCTGTACCGTAATTGGACAAAACTGCTATTCTGATGCTGATATTTATCATTTCTGAATCGAAAGTATTGCTTAGGATGAATAAAGAATGGTTTTCAAACCTAAACTTTCTTTCCTGCTTTTGTTCAACTTCACTAATCATTTTTACTCAAGACTCGCATTCAAGGTCAGGAAGAAAGTATTGCTTGTAATTTGCCCATTTTCATAGAATTCCATTTCCACATTTTTTTCTTCTATCAAGGGCATGGTATTCAACTTTAGTCTTCTGAATGTCAATACTATCATCGTCGTTTGTTTGTTTTATGTTTTAACCTGAAGCCGAAAGCATTGAATTTTAAATCCCTCGCTTTCATTGTCATTAGGAGGAAACATCTTTCATGGTGCCATGGGATTAGATTCTATTTTTCTTATGCGACCTGTTAAGGGATGGTAAGTCTGATTACTCACTTTTCCTTTTATCATTACAAGAGTACATGTTTAAATTTATCCAAATTTCTTTATATTATTGTTATTATTATTATCACAAAATCGTGGATGCAGGTCGAGTTATAGGACTCCGTTGCCAGGCCTTTACTTGTGCGGGAGTGGTGCCCATCCAGGGGGTGGTGTGATGGGCGCACCCGGCCGCAATGCGGCGCAGATAGTTCTTCAAGATTTCAAGAAAAAACTGAATTGATTTTCTGAAATTAGCTCTGCTGTTTTTCATTATGCTGTCGGAAATAATATCCTTTGGAAAATTCAGATCAAATCACATTCATCCTCGCTTTAAACGAATCAATGATGTTGAATTAAATTTACGTCCTTATGTCATTGTCGCTTATAAAGCTGAATCATTACTAGAATATATTTATCATGAATCTAACATTTTAAAATTGAAACAATATTGTTTATCTCTCTTTCTCTCTCTTTGTGTGTGTGTGTGGATATATATATATATATATATATATATATATATTAAAACTGGTAATTTAATTAATAATAATTATATAATTTTAATTTTTAATTAAAACAAATATGTTTTAATTATTGATTCTAATCATTTTTATTATAATAAATATACTAATAATATAAGTATTAATTATTAAATGCTTATTTATAAAAATTTATTTATATTATTAAATTATTAATTATCTAAAATATTGTTTATTTTAGAAAATAATGTAATTATTATGGTTAATATTGTTTACAATATTAATATTTATAATTTACATTATTATAATAATATTATTTAAAATTTAACTATCATTATTTATAGTAATAAATATATTATTGTTTTATTTGAGGATTATTATTTACACATTAACAATTATTCAACACACTTTTATTTTAATATTTTATTTTTTACTCAATACACCTCACTTTCAAAACACAAATTTATCAAAAAAATCCACACATCCCTTCCTCCCTTCTCTTACACCCCATATCCTCTCTCTTCCCAATCGAATTTAAGTTCAAATCAAATCAAATTCAAAGAAAATTTCATTCATTTAAAATTAAAAAACATAAAATAAACAAAATTCATTTTTTTTGCTTTTTCATTTAATTTCATATTTAGTTTTATAAAATTTTATATTAAAATGTTTGAATGCGATTATAAACTTCTAAAAATAACTTTTCAGAAATTTTTAAAAGATTGTGAAATTGAATGTCTGAAATTCTTTAAAAACTTCAAAAAATTTAAAGTTTTCAAAAACTGATATCCGAAAACTTTTAAGAATTTTTAAAAATGAATTTTATTTTAAGTTCTTAAAGGTTTCTAACAATTATTTTCGAAAATCTTTAAGAGTTTCTAAAAATAGAATTTCAAAAATTTTAGTTGTGAATTTTGATAACAAATTATTTTTTACTGGGAAGAAGAAGATAAGAAAGCACCGAGCACATTTTTGGGAAGAAAAAGAAGAGATTAGAAGAAGGAACAAGAAACAAGTAAGAAGGAAGAAGCAAAGAAGGAAAAAGCTGAGAATTGACAAGGAAGAAGGCACGTTTTTGAGAAGAAGACAAAAAGGTAATTAATTAATAAATATTTAAATAATTTTATTAAAAGTTAAATTTGTAATAAAATTTGTGGTGTATTGAAAAAAAGTTGAAATGCAAATAGTTCAGTTTCTTTTATTTTTATGATTATACTTAATAATCATTATGATATATAATAATGATGTTAATTAATAATTAAAAAATTAAAACATTATTTTAACTAATATACTATTATTTTCCAATAACATAATTATTTTAACAAATCGTCATATCATTTAATTAAAATAATAATTAATATTAATTATGATATTAAATAATTAATTAAATAATTCAAATACTTCTAGTTTTAATATAAATAAGTCACTAATAATTATCTATATATTAATTAAGAAATAATTTAAACTAGTATATTATTAAATGTTTTACTTTGTTACTATATTATTTTTAACAATAAATTATTTTATATATAACTATTAAATGTAATTAAATCATTAAAATTATATTATAATAACAATTAATAACATAGTTAAATATTTAAAACTTAAAATAATATCAAATACTTAAGAATGTTTTAATGTTACGTAGATTATATTGAATTAAAATAGAGGTATGCAAAATATATTAATATAGTACCATCCTAACATATAATTAAATATTAAAATAATTTACTATTTCATGTTTATTTTATGTAATTTAAAATGACTTACTTTGATATGAAACTTAACTAATTGACTCATGTAACTACTTTTAAGAGATAATATGCAATAAATCTAAAATTTGAATCTAAAAATGTTCATCTTACTCATATTTAATAGAAAACCCAACTTAAATGTTAATCTTACTCATATTTAATAGAAAACTCAACTTTTTACCTTAATGAAAAAAGAGATGAATATTACATTGTGAGTATATGAATAGGGATGATTATAATTTTTAATTTTTATTTAATACATAAATAAAAATAAGTAATATAACACATTCTCTTTACTCGTGCCCTACATATATATATATATGTATATTTATATATATTTAGTAAATATATTTTTTATTAAATAATATAAATTATTGTTTTAAATTAATTAAAATTAATATATTTTTATTATAAAATATATATTAATATATATTTATAAAAAAATTATCTAAATATACAAGATAAAAAATATATTTTTTATTTTTTTAAAAATTATAAGAATGAGAATTATCTTATACCCATTAAATACTTATGGGAATAGAAATAAATTTAAAATACCCGTGAATATAAATACAATGATGAATATAATATAAAAATTTAAGGATGAAAATGAAAATAGAGAGTACTCTATCATTCCCTTACCCTACCCATTGATATCTTTGTTTGAATCCACCAATTGTAATTATTTTCCCTATCCATAACCTACGACCTTTTTTATAAAATAAAAAAAAAGAACTTCATATAATATTAATTACTTTATAAATGTTTAATAATATTAAATTTATCTATAAAATTATAAAGATTTAAAAATATAGATAATTGAATATTATAAATACTAAACATAAAACTCAAATAAGAATATAGTAATATCTTAGTGTTAAAAACAGATATATTAGTTTTGGAAATTTTCTTTTACTTTTTTTATTTAAAAACAGAAATTAAAACATGACCATAAATGTTTCTAGTGTTATCTCCAAAAAGGCTAAAAAGAAAAAATGAAACAAATCATAAAAACGAAGATCAAAATGAAAATAGTGGTAGTAAAACACCTTGTTACATGTAAGCAGAGAAAAATTAACTAATGAAATATACAACAATACCTCTACACTTTTGATTATGTGGACCAATATGAAAATTAAATCTCTTCACTCAAAGCTTTTAAGCTTTCACCATGTAAAACCCTTGACCACAGAGTTGGTTAAAATCATAAGTTATCAACTAACGATGACAAGAAATAATTCGAGGACCGATTTTAACAGCATTCGAATGTGGAACTACCTACTTCGCCAACCAGACGCAGACTTCGGAATGAGTGTGATAGCATTTGAGGCAGCTTCTAACCTACATCACGGTTAAGGGTTATCTGTTAATAAAGTATAAATACAATGCAAAAGTGGAAAAACTCGCATCATGTATACATGCTTTCCACTCACGCAAAGGAGAGAGAGAGAGAGAGAGAGAGAGAGAGCACTTAGATATCTCTTCAACTGCCTTCATAACTTCTGCTGAACTTGTTTCTAGCACTTGACCTCCAAAAATGATCTCATCCAGGATTGTGTGTATCTGCAAAGGATTATTGAAGATTTGAAAAAAAAAAAAAAAATTAAGATATTGACCAAGCCTATTTTGGTGGGGAGCAGAAAATGACCAAAAAAAAGCAAATACATTTAAATCAGAATGTTGTAGTAAGAAAGCATTCAACTGACTTTAAATCAGTTTTGAGTGCAAAGATATGACGTTATTGAGCTTATTCTAAAGGCGGGCTTTGTCAGAAATTAAGGAATCACTACAACATCAACAATATATGCTATTAAGTCAAAATACTAAGGAACTTAGGCAAAGCTTTACCCAAGCACCATAAGAAGGCTTTCCCTACCATCAATTAAGGTTTGGAACCTGAAGCATCCCAAAAAATATTTTCCAACAATGTCATCTCCTATAAGATTAGCTGTGTTATCCTCTTGCACTCAAAAGAATAAACAATATAAATAAAGATGAACTTTATGTCTGGCACTAAATAAATGCAGATATTAGTGATGAGAGGATACAACCTTGCTGTAATTGAACACGATGTCAAGCTCACAAACATTCTTGAAGCATTTGTCCAACGTTTCCACAAAAACTGATTGCATCACATCCAAAGTAAGTAAAATGATCCAATATTTGAAATAAATATCGGCAATTATTGTTATATCCAGCTTTCTAGTGTGTAAAGGAAATGCATGACAAATAAGGTAAATTGTTCACATCAGAAAATATGCAACTTTGGAGCAAAGAATCCATTAAATCTTACAGTTTAATAACAATAATTGTTAACATCGATCATCCATGCAAAAAAGATGGTTATATACACGTTAACATCTAGAAAACATATTGTTGCAATGCAATCAAACCTTTCCACTTAAAAGACACCTGAGGTAAACTCAACTAAGTTGGCTGATAAAACAACAGTGATCATTGATTCCAGCATACATGCAAATCAATTTTATTTTCTTCTTTTCACTAACTGCTCAAAGAAGAAAATCTACTTCAAAAAAAGGCATATCCAGACTGAATTCAACTTGAAATCATCACAAAGACCATCAAAATGGATCTATTCAGGTTTACGAAAACTTTTCATATCTATAATGCAAGTATAAGCATTCAGAAATCTCCAAATATTGAGTAAATTGAAATCTTCTTTTGGAAAGGGCCATAACGCAGAAGAAAAACATTTCAAAGATAACTGTACAAGAAATTTTCGAAGCGTACCTTGTATCAAGTCAAGCACGGCTAGCTCATTTTCAGAACTATCAAATACAAAGACAAAGTAAAGAGTAGCAAAATGCTTGTACACAAGGCGACTATCCTGCAAGTGAGAATTATAAAACAATAAAACAGAGTTCCAAAGCAGAGGTATAATAAAGCTATGGCAGTTATTAACAAGATTTAAATAAGTTTGAGTTGGCATCTAATCTTAGAATAACAAGGAAATAAAAATTTGAATTAGAAATCAAGAAAATTAGAAAATAAAAGAAATTACCGGACCAAAAATTGATTCCGCCTCTATGAAATTGCTTACGTTCTCAGCTCTACCGCACAAGACTGTTCAAAGATCAAAATCAAAACTGAAAGTTAAAAAAAAAGACAAATAACTCTAAGTACGAACTCAAGAATGATCGATTAGGTGGAATACTAAACGAGATCAGAAAAAATGAATCTAAGGTTCATGCGATTCAAACAGAGCAAAATTCAAATTAATCACAGCTAAAGTAATAAGAAGAAGAAGTTGAGAGATAGGAACCAGCAAAAACGCGGCGTATAAGCTCCTGCTGCTTCTCCACTGGCTGATTTCAACGAAATTCATAACCACGTCGATTATTGCGAAGGAAATTGAAATCGTTAATAACTTTATTTTAAAATAAAAAAATGATAAGAGTAAAAAATCTCAAAAGAGGAAGAGAAGTTTACCAGATATTCGTAAAATTTTGCCAGTCGAGGCTTGCCTTGAGTGTTCATCACCATCACAGCTTTTATCATCTCCGCTCCTCTCTCACTCCTCTCTCTCTCTCAAGCTAACAAAATAGAATTTTGGATCTGTGAAAAATTTACATAAAAAAATATATAGTCCCAAAATTTGATAAATGGACAAAAAAAAGTCATGGATCAATAAGAAACCAAATTAAGAGCACGGGGTTACATTCGGAATATAATCCATAGGGTTAAATAAGGAAATTGACAAACAAAATTGTAATGTAATATAATAATAAAATAATCCACGTCGTCTCTGCCCTGGACAAGCCCTATACAAAGAGAGACCAGTTATAAAAATGGAGGGGAAGAGATTTGACGTTGGCGGCGCAAAAACAACGGAGTAAAAAAAAATGGCTACTCAAGGAGACGATGAAGACGATATAAATCCCGTTAAAATGATCTTGCCTGATGAAGATCAAGGGAAGAGCCTTACTATGCTAAGTGACGGTACAGCGAAGCAACAACTGCAGCAGCATTATATCCGTTCGATCGAGTCAATGGTGGTGATTAGACAGCTTCCTTCTGAAGGGCTCTCATTCCAGCTTTGGCCAGCCGCTACTACGCTTGTTACTCTCCTTGATAACCACCGCTGTCACCCTAGCAAAAGCCCCCTCACAACAATCCTAACAGCTTTATCAAAAGGTGGTGATAATATTCGGAAACTGAAAATCCTCGAGATTGGGTCCGGTACTGGCCTTGCTGGAATCGCCGCAGCCGTAACGTTAGGAGCTAAAGTGACGGTGACAGACTTGCCACACGTCATCCCCAACCTTCAATTCAACGTTGACGCGAATGCTGACTTGGTAGCTCAAAATGGTGGGACCGTCAACGTGGCTCCATTGAGGTGGGGAGAGGATGAAGATGTGGAGGCTATTGGGCGGGAATTTGATCTTGTTTTGGCTTCCGATGTGGTTTACCATGATCATCTATTCCAGCCGTTGATCGAAACGCTGCGTTTCTTGTTGAATGGAGGAGGTGAAAAGAAAGTTTTCGTTATGGCTCACTTGAGAAGGTGGAAAAAGGACTCCGCGTTTTTCAAGAAAGCCAAGAAGTTTTTTGATGTTGAGACTTTACATACAGATCCTCCACAGGAGGGGACTAGAATTGGTGTTGTTGTTTATGGCTTTTTTGGGAAAAATCTAAAATGTTAAAAGAGGTTTTCCTTTTTCTTTGTTGAAAGTTTATGCACTTATGGCGTGAAATCTAATACACAGCATTTTCACACTAATCCAATACAGTAATTGTATTTTTACAGCAAAAGTTACAAAAACCCATCGTGATCGATTCGAGTACCTCGAATGAGGTGCTACAACAACAAAGAAAGAGAAAAAAAAGTCTCCCAGACAACACATTTACATAAATCCCCAAAATTAATTTAGGCGTGATTCATGCTTCTCAATCAAATAATGGCCATACTCCTATTTCCATTGCCGTGTTGCTTCAACTTAACAGCTGCATCACTGGCGTGGAATTACCAGAAAAGCACAAGGTACGACTCCTATAAATAAATGCCACCAAAACTTTTGATTCTGGAATTTGAGTTGCATCTTGTCATCTTGTCAATATGGATGCTCTCAAACATCATCGCTTCCTTATTGGTGAGCCTTTTGCTACTGCTTTCATACTCTGCGAATCTCTAAAGCAAACAAAGTGGACCAGTGTTTTCCCATTTGGATAGACAGCAAATACGCTTGTTCCTATTTTCTTGTTGCAGAGAGAGCACATACTGTCACTTGAGATCTTAACCACCGCTTTTCGTTGGTTGTAGAGTTCATCTTTCACCTGTTTCAAATATGACTTGAGACAGATGCTTGGATGAAAGAAAATCAAAAAAGTATTCTTCGAGGATCCCACCATATTCATGAATATACATATACATATGCTAAAGGGAAAAGTCATTTTATGTGCTGAACTGTTTTTTGTCAAGCAAAAAGATTTACAAACCTGTAGGTTCTCACTCTGCCTCAAGCTCTTGATAACAGAGAAGTTCCTGTATGCTTCACTGGATTTTTTCAGAAGAGGTCCCAGAAACGGAAGCAAGTTCTGCAGCTAGAAGACAAATATCTTAAAGAAAAACCTTAAGATTGATACAGTGATGCCCAAAAGGAAATCTTACAACTTAGATATCAATGACCATATACACTCAGATGCAATTGGTTCAGCAGCTTTGTAAGCAATTCAAGATTTTAGAAAATACCTGTAGTTTAGTCTCCCTCGGTAAGAGTTTGAGTGCCTGAGCTCCATTGATTCTATCCCACCTTCGGCTCAAAAGATCAAGTACCTGATCAAGCATGATAGAAGAACCTCCTTCCCCACTAGATTCTTCAGCATCACCATCACTCCTACCACTATCAGTATTGCTGGGACTAATACGCATATCCTCTGCACCTTCTATTGAGGCTATTTTCTTACGTCCTCCTTTACCTTTAATTGAAGCTGAAGAACCAAGCTTTGGGATGCTTGTATTTGGGGATGATACCAAATTTGTGATTCTCTTTTCGAAGTTCTTGGTTGTTTTTTGAGGATTCAGATAAATCTGTAAAAGAGTGAGGTATATATTGCCGGAAGATTTTATTGGTGGTTGATGAACCACAGACTCGTAAACCCGATCACAATAGGCCAGTGCCAGTTCAGGTACTTGAAGCTAAAAAGGTCAAGAGGAATTCATTTACTAGGGCCATATTCACAATGCAGAAGAATAGATTTAAAAGAAAAAGAACAAAAGGAAAATGGGAGGAGGGAGTGAGAGAGAGAGGCATTAATGAACTAAAATATATGCAACTCTTTTAACAAAAATAAGTGTTGTTATAGTAGCCTTAGCTCAATCAAAGGTTCAACAACTTTTAGCTTTTTCTATTAACCATCTTACTTAAGAGATGGAATGCGGATGAATCATGCCAGAAATTACCTTATGTACATATAGTGATAGTGCAAGCTCATGTTGGTTCATTTTTCCCAACAAAATCGCACGCTCTTCAAATAGAGCATCTGGAGGAAGACGTCTCAACAAAGCCTCTGGATTATATCCTGTGATGCTTTCCAACGCAGACAATAATTTCTTTCGAGTTGGTAAATAAGCCTTCTCATCCCATATCTGTTGAGCACTTAACTCTGAGTACCATTCAAGTACTTCAGAGAGATATATTTGTACCTACAATAGTCATTGCGACTTATATGAGGTGCACTATTACCAACACAAGTGGCAACTATGAGAACTCCAGTGTCCTCAAATGACAACTGAACTTAGTTATTTTTATAACAAACAAAAAGAGTCTTTACCATTTCATTTTGCAGGTTCCCTGAGATCCCATTTTCATTCATCGCAAGCATAAGCTCCAAGTATCTGCCCTGCATGTTTGGAGCATGCTGCTTCAAATAAGAGTTGACCAAGTCTGCCGGAATATTTCCAGACAAAAAAAGCTCAATGGTTTGTGTTGGACAGCTTTCAAGAACAAGCATCGAGAACTCAAGGACAAGCATGGGATCTGTGCCACAGAGAGGCTGCAAATAAAACCAGACAAAGTGTTCAGCATATAGAAGTTTTATCACAGCATGTTCAGCACATTGCATCAAATAAAAGCAATATATATGCCAAATGCTAGCGGAATATGGTCCATAAGGTCAAGCCATAACAAAATTAACATTATCTTCTCATTTTATTCAGGGCAAAACTTCACATAGTCTCCTTCACAAAGTAGAAGATTATCTTCCACATTCCACCTGACATGCGTTGCCCAAAAGGCCCAATGCTTCCATAACCTGAAGATAATTAGCATCAATAAATCATGTTAAATACTTAAAATACAATAAACGGATAAACTGACCTTCAGATATTCAATAATTGCCTCAGGACTGAACTTTTGGATAAGCTCAGCTTGTGATTGATTTGATTTTGACTCTTCTACTAATTGGTGTAGAAGTTTTAGAGCTTCACGATGCATTGAGTTACTTCTGTAAAGGTCTAACAAAGCTGCATAATGATTTCCTTTTTGAAGAATCTCCTCACATATTTTTACATCACAGTAGTTAAGACCTTTCAGCAATTCTAAAGCTGCCGATGATTGTCCAGTAAGAAGCAGGGATTGGAGGAGGGCTGTATCAAGTATTGCAGCCATCTCCCTAGCAGCGGAGTTAATAGGAATGTTACCACGCCCCTAAGGGACCAAACATAACGTTAGATCATTCAAAAAGAATAGACCATATAAATTTTGAAAATATAAAAAGAAATTGGATATTAACAAGAGTGATTACAAGAATTTTTCATCAATATATTGGGATTGAGTGTATGAAAATTTAAGTTGGTTTCTTTCCATAAAATTGTGCACTTCTGCACAAAGCAGAATTTCAACGTACAAGTTTACATAGAATCACAAAATACGCTTCACCTTAACAAACATTAATGACAAATACAAAATGTGAAATTAGCCTCACCTTATTTGACTTCTTAAATCTAGTCGATGCAAAATTATCCCCAACAGCATCTAAAACTACCTCTTCTGTTCCCTCAGCAGCAGCCTTCTCTACAATACTGTATCTCTTCTTCTGTAGGAACTTAATAAGAGCCATGAGAGTGTTGTGGCTCATTTTCTTGAACTCAAGTGCTGCATTTTCATCAGATTCGGATAGTTGTGGAAGCAAGGTTTCCAGATCATCCGACAGACCAGATGAACCTCTTGATAGATGTGAAGCATCCAGAGAAAGGTCCATCAACTTCTCCGGTTCTGGAACTGAATTTGTTTTGGGAAGAACAATGGATGGATAAAAAGAAAGCACATAAGTAATATCTACTTGAGATGCCAAAAAGTGCTCCATTGCCTCCTCATAGCATCCATTGTCAAAAAGATAATGTGCATATCTGCAACAACGTGACACAAACATTTAACCAGAATGTATCACTTGAGGAACATATAATAAGCCTGAATAACCTATAGATATTTATGATTTATGTACCAGGGAAAAAACTGTTTTCAAGTAAGAAACAGATGTTTTATATGCAATTTTTTTTTAATAATATCTTGAGAATGGTAAGGAGCATGACATTGAAGAGAAAATAAAGGCTGCGTCCATGTGCAAAAGTATTCTAAAATGTGTATACTGATGATGTGGAATTTTAAACATGATATAAGCATTGTGAATAATTCAATAATTCTTATTAAACAGGATACAAGCCAATTAACTTGATAAAATTGCACAAAATAAGAACTGTTAAAGGGGGAAAATCCACCTTATATGAATTGATCCCTCCTTTGCAGCTCTAAGGCTTGCATCTTCTGGTGGAAGCAGCTTACACAAGGCCAATGCTTCCTCAAAATTTCCAGATGCTGTTAATTGGACAATCTGCAATAAGTAGGAACCTTTAAATGCAATATCAAAGCACTTATTCAGAGTTAGCATATGCATGCCATAGCCAAAAGCATAAAAAGTTACAAGAGAAGGGAAAAATATGATGTTAAAACATAAGCAACGGGAAAAAAGAAGGATCAAGGTTCACAGGAAATCATTAAACTTCTTAAATATACTAGGAGTACCTGTGCACCAAGAGGAACAGGGAAGAGCCCATAAACAGAATTTTCTAATGCTACAACAACAGCATTGTTACTTTTAATAACGTGACGAGCATTATGGAGGACAATTGTTTGTATCAATGGATATGGAACTCGAAGAGATCGAATCTGCAAAGATTAGATAAGTGAAAGCACATAAATATTAAGATAGGCAAAACCCAATCTTCTTTGGCATTTAGTCACACTACCTCAACCCGCCTCGGAAACAGAGCTATTGCATATGGCATCTGGATGACAACAACAGTAGGAGCTTCTGACCAACATATTCTATCAGCTTGAAGAAGCTTTCCATTTTGATCCACAAAGACTCCAATATTTTCCTAAGAGACAGCAGGAAAAACACTCGGTTTTACTCTTAACCAAAAGAACTATGATGTCAAAAATAGATTATTAAACTAAGTCAGTACCTTCCCAAGAATAAGTTCTCCAGAGGGAAGAGCAACCACCAAAGGTGGAGCTATCTTCCCCGAAGAAAACACCTCTGACAATGCACCATTCGTGGCGTTTAATATCATGTATTCCTTTCTAATACCTAGACATATGTTCTCACCACACCATGACATTGACTTCACTGTATCTGGTACACCAAAATCTTTCACCTCCACAAACCCTCGCCCTCCTATACATTAATTTTCAAATCAACTTCATTCAACAGTCAGCAGGCAATAACCATTAATTCCGCAAATATAAATCCAATGAATATCAAATTAAAAAAAAAAAAAAAGAGGTCAAATTAATAAGGCTTGTTTGATTATTACTTTTGCTATTTGCTCTTTTATTTATAAAAGTTTTCTAAAAAGCAAAACCCTAATTAACTAAAAATAAACAAATGATTCAAATGCCACACTAATTTTAATTAATTACTCTGGATTATATTAAAATCATGCATTTATTCTACAGAAAAAAAATATACATTTTAAAAATTTAAAAATGGTTTTGAATTTTTTTAATCACAAATCCAAAAAATCGAACGGTTAGAAAACATTAATTTACTGGTAACCGAAAAAGCAAAGAGAGAGAGAGAGAGAGAGAGAGAGAGAGAGAGAGAGAGAGAGAGAGAAATTCAAAGAAATTACCGTCGTGCCTGAAAATACAGACTCTCTTTTGCCTAGCAAAGCATAGGAAGCCTCTACGGTCGTCCCAAGAGTAGACATTAGCGCCTTTAGCTTTGGTGATCACAGCAATGGTTTCCAAATTGGGGAGCCGATGAAAAGCGATCGATTCAGAGAGGGATAACAATAGCTCTCTCGATTCCAATACTTCCATTGAAAGCAGAGCCTTCTTTGAAAACCCTGCAACGGTTCTCTCCAGTGCGTAAGGTTCCTTTCGCAACGCGTGCTGATCGGACGATGGAGATCTGTCTGCGCCGGAGGAATCTGGACCGTAGATTCGAAGGGATCCATCGGAGCAGCCGAGCAGGAGCTTCGAGCCGTAGGATTCGATGGCGTCGATTTTAGTGGGACAATCGCTGAGGAGCTCAAAGGAATCATAGGCGCTGTGCACCATTTTTTCGGTTTGTGTATGGTCCCTTCTGAAATCATTGGAGTTTTGCTCTTGGGAATAAACATTGCCAAACGGCATCGTTTCTTTTTACCGTACGTAAGCACCGGCCCGATTAGGGATGGCATCGGGTCGGGTTCGGGGCGGGTTTTGCTCGCCCCGAACCCGACCCGATTTTATGTTTATTAAACCCGACCCCGACCCGACCCGAATTTTTTAAATACCCGAATCCGATCCGACCCGATATTATATAAATCGTATCCGACCCGACCCGACCCGAAATTAATAAAATATTATTTTTTAAAATATAAAATATTATTTTTTAAATATAAATATTTAAAAATATCATTATATAAATATATATATATATATATAATTAATTAATTAATTAATTAAAAAATAATTTTTTAATAATATCGGGTCGGGTAGGGTCGGGTTTCAGGAATACCCGACCCCGACCCGACCCCGATTGTTACCTAATTTACCCGATCCGACCCCGACCCGAAACCTGAAATTCAAAAAAAAAACCCGACCCTATAGGGTCGGGTCGGGCCGAAACCCGTCGGGGACGGGCTTAATTGCCATCCCTAGGCCCGATGCGTTGGCATGAGGTACCGCTTTTTTTGTACTCGTAGAATCCAATTACATCCCGCCACGTCATATTCAACAAGCAACAGATTGCCATGGACCTGGAACCAATGAAAAAAAAATAAGATCAAAGATTAAGCGACAAATATCCTTTGTCTTCTCTTTTTCGGTTGCTTTGGTATGATTTTCATAATTTTGAAAATTTTTAAATCATAAAACCATAATTTGAATTTTAAAAAATTAAGTGGAATAGCAAAAGAGAAATTGAAGCTTTCCTCCTTTCCATCCTATTTACAATATCCAGAACATATTTATAACTATGGAAGTTTTAGAGCAACCGAAACATGTTTCTTGTTTCTATTAAATGTAGAGTATGGACTCCCACTGATTACGAACGAGGCTGAAACTCGCGCCCTTTGTCTCATAAGACTAACCAACTGAGATATGGGACAAACACAAAGATAATAAGAGAAAAACCGTGTATGGTAACAGGCATGTGACATAAACCAAACACCATATAACTTTGCAATGTTTGGTCTTCACTCTTCAGTCTCCTCTGATTATATTTCAACACCTGCAACGTGCCTAATCCAAATATGATAGCCTTTTCCTAAATAGTCAAAGTCATCAGTCATCACATTTCAAATAAATGAATATATATATGGTAGTTAAGGTTACAGTTAGCTGCTAAAATGGCCATTGATGGATCAGAAGAGATTTATCACTCAATGTTCAGCCTTCTTCATAATTTGTGGTGGCTTTGACACGGTAAATTGCATAGAAAAATTGAGGAAACAGAAAGATAAAGCCAACTGGATTCCATTATACATTTCCAGAAGTAGATCCGAGATTTCAGACAACAGATACTGTTGCATAAGACAAACCACTACTAGAAATCTAACATGTCATGCTTCTGAATTCCATTATACATAAAAAAAGGTTCCCATGCTCTTAATTGTTACAATTTGCCACATGAAGGAAGGCAATGTGATAAAAGAAACATGTAGCACCATTAGTTCCCTAGATAGAGAGGTATCCTAGACGCACTCTGCCGGGTAGAAAAACAAGGACATGCATAAAGCATATACATTCAGCAAATGAAAATTACATCACAAAAAAGCCATTTCTTATTGCATTTAATGCTGCTGATGTTTCAACTGTACATAAGCTTTAAGCACAAGAGTGTACTTGGTCAAAGTTCATTGGAGTAAAGGCACTCGTCCACAAGTTGGCGAAGGTTAGGATTCTCCAAGGCAGCGGCAACTCTTTCTTTATCGTTCAACTGCTTATTAACTGAAGAAAGAAGAAGGTGAACATTTTAAGAATATTAGACCAGGGAGACTGGAGATTGTAAGATGAGAATGGTGAAACAGACCAGCTGACTCTATTGACATAACACATGCATGCTAGAAATCACTCACAAAACATACAAGTTTTAATAGGCTTTGTAACTCACAAGAGCAAGAAAAGTTGAGGTAGAGCAAACTACAGCAGTAGATGAATGACTCAAATAAATGTATGATTCTCTTAATCTATTATTTCTCTCACCTTTCTAGGAAAGAAAATCCCTTAGCTTTTGTTCAGAAAGAACAACTGAACAAGCTAAAACATTAAAATCCCAGTAAGTCCAAATCATATCAAAGAAACTTTATTAAAAAAAGACCACCTATATGAATCTACAGACATCTTTCCACCTTCAAAGGTAAATTCACTGTTAATTTCTGCATTGCCAGGTACACTAATAGCCATGTAGGAGAAAAAATCAATAAAAAGTGATAACAATCCCAGATAACATATTTTACCGTAGTGAGTTTCCATGTTAGAATTGGTTTTGCATTAATGATCAAAATATGTTGGTTAGTATCTTCAAGTTATCCTAAATAAAATTTTATCTCCCAGTATGAAACTTAAACAATCAATACCCAAACTTCAATAAGATGATTTCATTTTCAAGATAAGTACTAAAAATGATGCTAAATAAACTTCTACTATTATTTTCGAACTTCACCTGATTCTTCATCAGCATGAGATCCAGGAGCGACTTTAATGTCAACCTATAAAGATAAATCATTAAATCATAAGAGATTTCCGTTAATGGTAACAAAAAAGAAAACATCCCGACTTGTAAAACTTGGAATTTTACATAAAAAGGAAGAACCAAATGCAATAGAATTTCTTCTTTTATAAATTAATTGAGAGAAAAAATAAATATAAAAATCTAAAATTCACAACTTATTATTGAACAGAAACTAACCTTAAAATGTGGAGGAAAACATGCCATTAGTTTAACCCTTAGGCATAGACCGATTACAGTAGCCATGCTGCAATGCTGAATGGTGGGAGTGAAAGTTATCCTAAACAATTGATTCACATCATAAATAAAAATGCCAAAGAAATAACTTTAAGAGGCAACCAAAAAAATTAAAATTAAACCATAAATTCAACACCAAGTTTTAGAAATTAAACTTAGAAAACTTAAATTTACCGATTCTAAGCACAATTTCAGTCAATTGTCACAAATTTGTTTAAAATCAAAATCAAAATTAAAGTGAGAAAATACTCACAGAATTCGGCCGAGTTTCTCATCAACGGTGATTGATTCCTCGGAGAGAACACTAAGCTGCTCCAATGAATACGGATGTTCTGGATCTCTAATATCCCTCACATAATTTAAACTTCCAGTCAAAGATAACAACAAATTTTTTTTCGTTTTCTTCAACTTCGATTTTCAATTACCACCAAAAAATTAAGAAAAAATGAAAAAGCAAATATATAATTACTCTATTTAATTTCAGAAGAAATTTAAGCAACCAAAAGAAGTAAGAAATGCAAATGAAATTTAAATCTTTTTTTTAATTGTTGAGCAAAAATAGATCAAGATCAGAAAAAAACAAGGAAACTAAATAGTACTCCTAGTAGAAGAAGAAGAAGAAGAAGAAGAAGAAGGATATCATAGATTTCAAGGGGATCAACGGCGTCATCACCGTGAGGATCTTCGCTACGAGCGACTCGTTCTTTCTTGGCGTGAACCACTGGGTTCGCATTGATCAGACCCAGAGTCATCTTTGCTGGTTCTTCGTTTTCTACGGTTTGGTTCACGAACCCTCTCGCACTCGGGTCTTCAAGTTTAGCTGGAAGAGAAGGAAAAGTACTTGACTAATTGGAGGGGTTGATTACTGATTAGTTTTTTAACCCAATGGGTACTGCCACGTCACTTATCTTTTTTGTTTGGTGGGATCAAGTTAAGGCCATGCTTTCTGATCTCGGCACTGATCATGTTGGGCAAATATTTTCGAAGTGATGGCGCAGCAGAAAATTTTTTCCAAGTGGTAGATAAAAAAATTTAATTTTTTAAAACAAATCACGTAAATTAAAAGTGTAAATTACATATTAATACTTATAAATTATTTAAATTTAATTCAAATAAAATTTAAATTTGACTTGATTATTATTGAATTGAATTTACACTCAAACAACTTGACTTATTAAGTTAAATTTAGATATCTTAATATCTAGTTTAAGTAGTTCACGAATTCAATTAAAATTTTAAATTTTAATATTTTTTATTATTTTAATTAAAATTTATTATTTTATCTTTATATATATCAATTTGAGTTCGAATATATAATCGAGTTTAAAATCAAATATGATAATCGGATTTATTTTTATTAAAAAAGCTTAATCAAACAAGTTTGAATAGTTTTGATTTTTATTTTAAGTCGAGCTTAAACTTAAAAATTAAAAGTCGATCAAATTTGAACTAAATTTTGAGTAATGAATTTTAGATTGAATTCGAATTTAAACTTTTTACTATATCAATTTAACTCAATTACACCTTTAATAGTAGTATTATGTGAAAATAATTATGATATATAGTAGGCTAAAGAGAAAAAGGTGACTTATGCTCTAATTAACAATGAGGTCTAAAAGTGTTTTTATCAAAAACTCATTTTCACGATAATATGAAATTTTTTTAATTAATTTTTATTAGTTAATATATGAATATTTGATCATTGTCGATTTAAGAAAAAGTATATATATTTTTTCAATCAAATAAATATAAAGATAACAAAAATTAAGCATAAATTAAAATTTTCAAAAAAATAAGATAAAAAATTTGAGTTTTGCAATAAAAAAATAATTTTGCAAACAAACATAAAAGTTCTTTAAGAGGCGTTTAGTTTGTGAAATTTTGGATTTTGAAGAAATGTGTGATATTCGAGTATTTGTATGATTTTCAGGGCATCACGAAATCCAGCCATTTGGATGGGGGAAATGTTCATTTATTAAATCATATATGTTTACCATAATCTCATTGATAAACCGTAGGCAACCTTTCATTTTGTTAATGTACTAACCTTGTCTTTATCATCAAATGAAATACAAAGATTTTTTAAAAAAATCAAATATACTCAATTATGGTATTTAATCACACAGTATGCCGTAATTGAGTTTAAATCAAATACAAAAAAATTAACTTTCATTTATAGTGTTTAATTGCACATTATGTCGTAATTGACTTTAAAAAAACCTCCAATTATGATATTTTGTTGGAAATAAACACCTTAATTGAGTGAATATAAGAAATGAAAATAAATTTTAATTACTTCATTTGTTTAATATAAATGTCTTAATTAAGTGAATATAAGAATTGAAAATGACTTTCAATTACGACATTTGCTTAATATAAACGCTTTAATTGGGTGAATATAAGAATTAATTGAGAATTTTCATTTACGGGGTTTGTTGAATACAAATGCCTTAATTGAGTGAATATTTTTACTCAATTACAGTGTTTATTGGAAGAAATGTTGTAATTGAACCAACATAAAAAAATTTAAATTACTTAATTATGACATTTCATTTAGATATACGTCGTAATTGAGTATTTTTTAAAAACACAAACTCATTCACTTTCCATTCTTGAAACTTGAACAACTAAACAACTAAAACCCTTTAATGAGAAACGAACCATTCACAATCACATTCATATACTAGATTGTTATTGTTTTCTACATCTTTCTCGTTGTCGCTGACCGTGTAACCATCACCACTATTGCACATTGTCTAACTTTGGCAAATGGAAAATTATTTTTATTTTTCTCTTTTATTTTGTATATGGATGTATTTTTCTTCCTTTTCATATATTTTTATATTTATATACATACCTTTACCACCTTCACCACCATCGCACACCCTCCATACACAGCATGTATAGTTTTTACCCCACAAATTATATATATATAAGATAAATATATGAAAAGGTTGGTGTTTTATGGTTTGCCGATTGGTTTTATGGAAAATGGGTGTTTGATGAATGTGGTTTGTAATTCGTAATTTAATACCATGGATTTGTAGACAAAAAGTTAGGTGAAAGCACACTTGTCTACTGGAATAGTTTTATTTTTTCCTCATTTGTATTGTATAAACTTTTATGATACAATGAAACACAGTATGACTTGTTTATGTATTTTATTATTAGTTTTTTTTTGTGTATTACATATTGGTGTATTTACTATGTATTTACTATATTGCATATTGGTGTATTTACTATATAAATATATATTCTTTCTAGTTGGTTGTATTGCATATTGGTTTGTTTTTTACATTTTATATACTTATGATCAAAATCATAGGTAGTATGGCTTCAGAAGAACATATGTCTCTCTTTACGAAAATGAAGAAGACATACCCACCTTGAAAAAGAGAAAATCTAGGGGACATGGTAAATCATTTAAAGCGAGTGAAAAACAATTCATGTGGAGTTTAATCAAGATGGGCAACCTGTGTTAAGTGGAGGTGGAAAGTTGGTTAACCACATTAGAGCTATTATCCAGCAAACTATATCCATTAACTACGCAATTATAAGATGGTTCCAGATTATGAAAATGACAATATAAGAGATTCGATTGTAGTAAGTTTTTTCAATGATTTTCAAAGTAATTCATCTTTATTAGTAATTGTTTATGGAATAAAATTACTACGTTATGTTAATTTAATTTAATCTTTTTTGTAGGAATTGTTTGACATCCTATTCAAGTATAAAAAGCTTGTATTGCAATATGCTAAAAAAATATTCAGAGACTTTAAGAGCAAACTAACAACCAAATATATTTTACCGTTTGCTAAAAATTTTAAATTGTTGTATCATTATCTTACAACATATGTAGATGTTATCAGTGATGTAGAATGGTAGTAATTTGTTTGAGATTGTCTATCAGATGAATTCTCGGTATGCATATCCATTTTTTTTTGTTTTTAGAATATATTGTTTAATATAATTTTATGTTAATATGTCATTGACTTTGGTTTTTTCCTTTTTAGAAAATCAAAGAACAACAAAAGAACATATGGGCCCAACAGGTGTATCACCATCAAACATAAAAAAAAGGTTATGTAAATGTAAAACATAATCTTGTAAATATTCAAATGCTTTTATTATACTCATAGAGGAATGTTATGAACTTCATTAAATGAAAATTATAAACATATATTGATTAATGGTTTTAGGAAACATCCAGCTCAATAACCAAAATACCAAGATGGGATGTTTAGAATAAATGATATATGAGTAAAAATGGTTTGTATGGGAATGAAACAACTAAAGAAATGGCTAAAAAGATTGTTAGTTTATTTTGTTTTTATATCACATATGCGTAATGGGCTTTTAAGCATGAATAAATATTGTATTTAGTTAGCTACTCACTATCATGTTGTGTTTCATGATGAATTTGCTACAAGATATGAATTTAATAAGCTGCAAACTAGTTATAGTGAAGATCCTTTGTCCTTAGCTTTAGGATCAAAAGAGAAACTTGGTTGTGTTTAAAGGGTTAGGAGATTTATCTCTCCATCATAGTTCTTCATGAATCAATTGAAACCATGCTTTACAAAAAATGCTGAATATAAAGCAATAATTAAGTAGCAATAGTAGTTACTTGATAAGTAAGAGCAATGATTTAATAAGTGATAGCACCAAAATATATAGAGATTTTACATGTTAAAATGATGTTAAAATTTAAATTTTTGGATGATTTTTGGTGCCTTTCATGCTATTTTCATGATTTTAAGGTTTTTAAGTTGAAGATTAATTTTCATGCAAGCCATGCATGTAATCATGCAAAGCTCACATTTGGCCCCACCATGCCAACTCTATGCCACCCACATTGATACATATTTAAACATACATAAGCCCACTTAAATCTCAATCCATTCGGCCAAGATGAAATTTAAAGATAATCATGTTTCCTTTGTTTAGCCAAAAAGAGAATGCATTACACAATGACTCTATAAGCTCCACCACATTTGGCCAAAGCAAATCCAAATGAGCTATCATGTATTTCTTCCACAAGGGTGACTAGATGTATTCAGCTAAGATAAAGTTAAAGCTTACTGTTATAATGTCTAGATCCGAGGATCTATCGCTAGACATTGACTTGAAGGAGTCGCCACCAATCTTTTTTATCTAGGTACAATTGGCCACCTAAGGAATCTGTCCTTTCAGGGAACACCTAAGTTTAAAGATCCCTAAAAGAATAGGTTCAGGTCTACTAACCAGAACAGGGTTCGAGAGTTCGGTTACGTGTGAGAAAGGTTATAGCACCCTCACTACGCCCATCAAAAGATGGTACCAGTTTGAATTTGTGTTATCCAATGAGCCTTAAAATTTTATCAAGTAATTAATTATTAGAAATTATTCTCAATTGACTCTAATACTTTTAGCAAAAAATTGAAAAAATTCCCTTACCACAAGAGTATGCAAGAAAAACTACTGTTTCACTTGCAGAGGCTCCATCGTTGGATTATTTAACATAAACAAAAAAAAGAAGAAAAGAATGATTGTTCTTGTGTAGGAAAAATTGATACTTTCAACTTTTCTCCAAAAATATTCTTTTGAAACTTTAATTTCGAAGAAAATTGATATTTTCAACTTTTCCTCAAAAATTTATTTTTTGAAAATTTATTTTTAAGGAAAATTGATACTTTCAACTTTTTCCCAAAAATATTTTTTGGAAACTTTTATTTTCGAGGAAAATTGATACTTTCAACTTTTTCTCAAAAACCTTTTTTGAAAATTTATTTTTTTAAGAAAATTGATACTTTCAACTTTTCCTCAAAAAAAATCTTTTTTTTGAAAATTTATTTTTAAGAAAAATTGATACTTTCAATTTTTTCTCAAAAAAAACTTTTTTGAAAATTTATTTTTAAGGAAAATTGATACTTTCAACTTTTTTTCAAAAATATTTTTTGGAAACTTTGATTTTCGAGGAAAATTG